ACTGCTGAACATGGGCCAGTTTGTTTTTTTTTTTGATGGGTGAAAATGGTATGGTAACCCCGCCTGCGCTAACGGAACACGCTGGCGGAGCACCAGTGAAGGGTGACAGATGAAAATGAAAACAGGCCAGTTAGCCCATCATGATGAATTCATCAGGAATTAACCATGATAGTTTCCAGGGGGAACCGCAAGGAGGTCGACCTGGTTGGGTATATTGCTAGCAATGGGATTCTCAATCTCCATTACTAACAATCTATTTCACCTCGAACATGGGCCAGTTAGGTTTTGGTGGTGTTTTAAAAACAGCGCTGCTGTCTATCCGTCTTAGTTGCCTTTTATGACATGCACGAGAAAGGACGGGGTGGCCTATTCTATTAATAATAATAAGTTATTACTACTTTGTTTAGGGAAGGTGCTGGTTAGTTACGAGGACTAAAGGCCCCGCATCTTATTAGCAATTTTATTGTATCGGCCGTTGACCGTCCACTGCTGAACATAGCCTAAGGGGAGTTTTGCCAGTAGTTGCCACGCTTGGCAGGCTGATGGCAACCGCAGATCGGCTTTTGGAGATGTTTTAAGTGGGACTTTGTTTAACCGTAAACTCCCTTAGTGGCCTCTTACGACGCCCACGGGGAAGGAAGGTGTAGCCTATTCTATGTCGGAACCCACACGACTATTACTACTTTTTATTCCTTACTATCAATACATGTACCCAATCAATTCGACCTTCAGATCCTCCTGAGGAGAGAAGGGCTTGTTAATAATGGGATGGTTAGTCTTCATTTGTCAGGTCGACCTCCACGTGTTTCTCCCTGGAAACTATCATGACTAATTTATCGTTGAATTCGTCACGATGGGCTAACTGATCTGCCTTTTCAACCTCACCTATCACCTCTCACTGGTGCTCCGCCAGTGTATACCGATAGCGTAGGCGGGGTTACCATGCCATTTTCACTCATTAAAAAAAAAAAGATCCTCCTGAACAGTTGTGGCTATCACTGTTTAATTTATTACGGTGAACCATATTCATACTTTCATAGACAAAAGAAAGAAACCTACCAGTCACACATCGAAAGTTGCCACTTGCGAATTTATTTGCCACTAGTGAATTTATTTTGATAAATTTATATTCATTTTTAACAACTTCTTGTAACTTCTTATTAGGTAATTTTTACCTTATTTATTGCACTAGCTATGTAATTGTTGACATCTCTCCAAGAATTTGATAGCGTAATATTTTTTTATAATGCCTGCTTCAAAGGTATATAGGTTTAACATATTTTCTTATACAATTGACACTAAAATAAAGAGTAATATTAACCATCCTTCTTACGAATATAATAAAGTGAAGAGATCTGTAAATGGGAGGTATTTAAAAAATATATATATATTAATAATGCCAATCGAAGTCAAAACAATATCTGTAGAAATATTATCTGTCTCTGTGTATGTTTGTTTCGGCATCATGCAAAAACTACTACACCAAATTGAATGCGGTTTTCACAATTGTATTCCTGAAAATCTAGTTTAAAATGTGTTTTTTTTTTACAATACAGTGAGCAAACGAGCATGCAGCTCACCTGATGGTAAGTGACTACCGCCGCCCATGATCACCCACAACACCAACGGCATTGCAGGTGTGTTGCCGGCCTTGTAAAAAGGAATATGCTCTGTTCTTGAAGGCTATGAATTCATATCGGTTCGGAAATACTGCTGCTGGAAGTTGATTCCAAAGAGTGGTTATGCGTTGAAGAAAGTGCCTTGAAAATGCATGTTTTAACCTAATACGCCATCTAGAAGTGTTATTTTTATACGTTTTCGTATTTGTGAAATTCAGGTGTTGAAGTAGTAGTGTGAATTTACAGGGTACAGAGGAATAACACCTGAGTCCTCAGGAATGGCAACGCATGGGGGGTATCATGGGCGAAACAGTATCTACTCTGTTATGTCCACGGTACTGCTCATGTCTATAGCGTGCTTGTTTGCCATTCTAAGTTGTATAAAAAAAATGTGTTAGTCTGTGCAAAGTCCACGCGTTGCTATGGATACTTTTTATGTTACCTTTGTCTAACGCCTAAATAAAATAAACTACGCGCGCGTATATAGATTTCCTTATTTTATTTCATCACCAGGCGCATGAAGTAGCGAGCAAAAAGCCAGTAAGTATTTTTTTTTGATGGGTGAAAATGGTATGGTAACCCGCCTGCGCTAACGGGATACGCTGGCGGAGCATTAGTGAAGGGTGATAGATGAGAATGAAAACAGGCCAGTTAGCCCAAGTTGTACAAGCGTTATACAAGCAATCGACAATTCTCATAGGTCGTCGTTGCACTGAGTCGAGGGGTTCAAGCTGGTATCTAGGTGCTCCGGCCCATAAGTGAAAACAATACTCCATATGGGGCAGAATTTGCGATTTGTAGAGCAATAATCGCTGATCCGGCGTGAAGTAATGCTTCGCTCTATTAAGCACACCGAGTTTTTTTGATGCCAGCTTCACCTTATCTTCGAGGTGGCCACGGAACTGTCGATCAGATATCTATATATCCTCTGAACATTGATGGCGGATAAAAGGTCATCACCCATTTCGATATCGCCCATATCGGTCGGATATCTGTTTTCGAATATGTTAAAATTCTGTTATTCAATATTATTTTTCGGATAACATACTTTTAACATTTTATTTATTGGACCAGTATTTAAATATTGTACCTGAAATATATAGATCAGGAGTGGCCAACCGGTCGATCGCGACTATTAGTCCAGTCGATCGTGGCAAAGTAAAAAATATAATATTTGCTAATCTAGCGAAAGATGCTCATACGCAATGCTCACACTAATATAAATAAGTAGTCACTAAGAATAATTTTCAGTTTTATGTTTTCCCTCTTAAAAAATACAAAATGCTACAATACTACATAATTGTGTACTGAATTATGTTGGTTCATTTGTGACTTCAAAAAGTATGTAATTGGTAGATCGCACTGGGTTTCGTCAGTAAGCAGTAGCTCTTGGGTCTAGTCTAGTCGACCAGTCCTGATTTATTATAAATATTGCTATATATTACTAATTCTTATTACTTACACTGTAGTATGACTCACCGGATTGTTATCACCGTTTTTACAAGTACAAACGTAAGGAACATTTATTTGTTGGTTATAAATCTTGCGCTGAGGGCCAGTGTAGAACATCTTGTAAAGCAGAGAGAGGACTCCAACGCCGACGACGATGCCGGCCGCCAGCGGTACCCAGTTACTATCATCACGGTTACTCATTTTAAACAACCAACAACCTAATCAAAATAGACGCTATTTATTGTTGAAGAAAAGAGGGTAACGATTTTCATGTAAGATCATGATGTAGGTATATCTGAAAAAGCAGTGTTGCCAGATTGAATGAATATCTTTTTCGCAATTTTGGGTAAAAACATTAATGTTTGTGAATTTTGCATAAATGTTTAGAATATAATGAAAATGATCTCGGAGAAATGTGGGCAATTTTTTTAACAGTTTTGTTATTTTGTAAACCATATAGCAATGGTCAATCTCCCCTGAAAACTTGGGTTGTTATTACCTGATGAATTCACACGATGGACCAACTATGCTGACTTTATTTTCATCTATAATAACTCATATCCTATCAGTGTATACCAAAAACAGGGCCGAGGTTTTTCAGGAATTCTATTTTCACGTATAAAAAATAAGGTGCACTGTAAACCTTATATTGTTGGGATACGAAATAATCATAGGTTGGTACAAAAATATTTCACGTTTACCTGTATGTATTTTTGTATGTCGATAATTTTTTAGAGTGATATTCAATGTACTACAATAAAATTTAACAACGAGAATATCAGTTAAAACGATTCTTATTAAATTTTCTCGAAATAAAACGACAATATTGTAATTTTTTATGACATTGTCTTACATTATATATCGAGTTGACAGCCTCATATAACTTGCACATAGATTAAGGACACTTTCACACACAATACACAAGATATTTATTTTGAAATGTGAAATATATATAGATGTTGGAAACATCGAAGTTTATGAACGATATATCGATTTGTTTTCGATGTTTTTAACCCCATTCAAATATACATATATCTATATATATCGAATAAATATGCATTTTTAATGGAATGAAACCAGAGGGAGACTTTGTACAAAAGTCTATTGCTTGGGTACCTCTGTTTCATTCGTGTTTCAACCGTGAAGCAGTTGTGTTTGCATGGCTGTTTCGGTTTGAAGGGTGCGATATGGTGTGAATTTACAGGGTACAGAGGAATAACACCTGAGTCCTCAGGAATGGCAACGCATGGGGGTATCATGTGCGGAAACAGTATACTCTATTATGTCCATGGTACTGCTCTTGTCTATAGGCGACGGTTACCACTTTCTTTCGTACGGGTGGGCCGTCAGCTTCTTTGCCATTCTAAGTCGTATAAAAACAAAATATTTTTTGAACTTTTATACTATTCATTTTAACATTTTTATCGAATATTTATTAATTTTTAACAGGAAACAAGTATTGATCAAACATTTTTTATTTTTAAGTTTCTTGTTTAAAATAGAGTTTAAAAATAACAATTTTGACAACCTAGTGCCCAGTAAGTGGTTTCTCTCCTGAATGATTGCCGCTCCAGCTTCTAAGAATAACCGCTCACTGGGTATCAAAGTTGCCACGATAGGCAAATAGATCATAACTAGATTATGGAGGAAATAAACCCAAAGGAAGGAGGAAATAAACACACAGGAAATAATCCCTTCATATCATTCCACATCTCCAACGCATCTCCCTTTATTGGAGTGACAGGTGATGACATGTTTAAGACTCAAGGCTCTATCTATATAATCTAAGTCAGAGCAAATCTAATATAACCTTTAAACAAAATTTTACCTTTTAAATTCATTTAGTAAACTAAAACAATGTAATAGAGTATAGTTATATTATTAGACTAATAATTACCTACTTACGTTCGAATAAGTACACAGTTGAGGTTATGTATCAGATTTACTTTATTCTTTTATTTAGTGTCTGTTTATGTCTATAGATGTAGATCAGTGATATAAAAAAAAAAAATCACGGATGGGATGGAAAATGACGCTATGATTAAAAATCGTTCATAAAATATCGCATGAAGAACGATATATCGTCGTTGTTTAAAGTTCCGACATCGATGTTAAAACATCGATGTTCATGAACGATATATCGATGTTTGAAAAAATCGATGTGTCGTTTGCATCCCTAAGTATAGTCCTTATAGTCCTAATAGATATGACAGCCAATGAAATTAGTAATTAAAACGAGACACCGTTACAAGCAAAAAACACGGAAATGTCAATATTATATATTCTTGTTCACACTCCACTCTCCAAAAAATTTATTCTCTTCTCCTTCATATACCATATATTCTTTATTGAACTTGAAAAAAGAATACAGTTATTTTTTATTTATTAAAGGTGTACACAACAGGTTACAATCAATAACATTATAAACATTTATATAAAAATAATAGTTTGAACTAGATTGAGACCCAGACAGGTGTACACACAGCATGGTTAAAGCAATTGACAAACACTGTTAAATTATAAATTATATAAAGAAAGCATATGAATTTAGTAAATAACAATGAAGTACATGCAAATAATAAAAATATAGACATATCGAAAAGATTTGATGGCTGATTGTAAAATATTTTTGAAGGCATTCAGACGTGAATTGAAGATATCAATTTGAGGACATTTCGCGGAAATTTCATTAAAAGTACGACACATACGGATGAGCGGGTTATAATACGACGTATTGTTCTTATAAACGCACAGTGCAAATGTTTTATAACTCCGTGTTACAGTTCTTATATTGAAGGTCAAAGCAGAGAGTACAGAAGTAGAGTGAAGATGGTAATGAACTATTTTGTGTAAAGTAAATAAGTCGACCTGTTTCCGTCTGGTAGATAGATAAGAGAGTCACATTAAATTTTTCTAATCTTTTTTCATAACTTGATAAAATACGCCCATAACCGCAACGATAACTTAGAATTTTAAGAATTTTCGCTGAGTTATATGTTATATATAGCAAATTGTCTAGGATACAGTTTAGGTTTGTACGCTTCATATTCGTCATCAGTCAACAGATATTCGGCGACCATTTTGTATTTAGTAGGATCGTCCAGAATGTTCACCAGTCTCTGCAGCTTGTTAGCGTACCCTGCCAGTATGTTAGATGCAACGCCCTCGATGAGATTATATTGCTTATTCCAGAAATACGGAATATTCCTGTTTGCCATGGCCCGATGCAACCTCTTTACCATTATTATAAAAAGCTCAGATGGCGGCTTATTCCAAAACCTTGGCTCTGACTTCCGCTCTACAACCTCCCAAAAGAACAATGTCTTTATATAATAACTTGCTATTTCATCCATTCCTTGAGCGTCCCGCAATTTTTTTATCTGTAAGCAATTTTATTTGTTAATATTGAAATTGCATTTTCTCAAACATGCTTGGAAATGTGAGCATTATTTTGACAATCTTCTTCGAGATAAATCAAAATTGCCGTACTGGCCAGATACATGCGGGCAGCGGCCGGCAAAAGTTGTATGAAAATCCATATCTGTCGTGTTTTGCGGCCAGATAAATTACTATAACCAGCTATAGCTATATATATATATATATATATATATATATATATATATATATATATATATATATATATATATATATATATATATATATATATATATATATATATATATATATATATATATATATATATATATATATATATATATATATATATATATATATATATATATATATATATACAAAGAGGATTGACGTCAGGCAGGCGACCGGTCGTAAAACTATAAGGCAAATCCTTTAGTAATATGGATAAACCATATTGTGCCAACCTCGAATGATGGTTGGGATAAGGATAGGAAAATGATGTTGATACATGAAGTTGTTTCACAAAAAAAATTAAATTTGATGATATTGACCTCATTGCGCGGTTCTGACTCGCACTTGACCGACTTTTTTTTAAATGACAACTATCAACACTATAGAAAATAAGAAAATGATTAGCTAAAAATAGGAAAATATTTTGAAAACTTACAAAACGCAAAGTCTGCTTAAAGTTGTAAATATCGTGGAACAGGTTTTTCTCCTGGTTGTGTAAGGCAAATCGCCACACCCGGGAGCTGTCGCCATTTTTAGCAGGCTTGGGCACAACCATCCACCCGTAGGATCCCACTGAACAATCAGCAGTTATATCCCGGTAATCACTAGTGACTGGCCAACGCTCCTCAGGAAAGCGTAAAGCTGGTACTAAATCAACGTCCATTTTGAAACCGGTAATGTTAGTTATCTTCAAAGTTATCGCAGGACCTGACTCCGACGTACGAATAACATATGGAACGTTATCTACTGTTACCAATCTATAATTTCCATAACATTCAAATTTATTCAAAGCCCTGTATACAACACTTTTAAACCAATCGCTAAATTTGCTTCTAAGTAAATAATTGTTCTCGTCTTTCCATTTATATGCCGTCTTGTTTATTTCCCACTCGTCTCTGTTGGGCAAATTTTGGAATTGCTTGCCCATTTTCAATTTAACATATGCATAATTTGAAGGCTCCAGTACAATATCACTATTGCTAGGAATAAAGCGATCTTCTTTCATATTTATTGGTAGACCAATAACGATGTCCATATCAAATTCATCGGGCTTCTTAATACGTAGTCCATCATAGTGACTACCCGCTGGTTGGGCCTATATGAAAATATTAAATGCCTACATAATTATTGCATATTTATTATAATTAACTAAAAAGCAATTAACCACGTTACGGAGGAATAACACCTAAGTCCTCAGGAATTGCAACGCATGGGGGGTATTATGGGCAATACAGTATACTTACTCTGTTATGTCCATGGCTATAGACGACAGTTACTATTTTTCATCAGATGGGCCGTCAGCTTTTTTGTAATTCTAAGTTGCATACAAAAAACCAATGGCGGATAAGGCTCACAGTTTAAGAAGTTAATATAATTTCACAAGCTTTTCATTCAGTTTACATTTATATTTATATAGAATATGGATTTGAATGAGGAAAATGAAGACGTTTGCAGGCCCCTCAGGATCAGAGGCCCAGAGCGGGCTGCCCCTTCCGCCTCCCCCCCTCAGTCAGTCCGCAACTGGACTTAAGGTTAAATAAAATTTATTATCTGCTAATAACTATTCAAGGCCAAAACTGCTTTGTTATTCAGTAAATTCGAGTTTAAAAAAAGTAAAAGACGCATTTCTTGATGCAAATATTTTTGAGACTGGTTCAAGATGACCACCCAATCCCTTTTTAGGGCGATAGTCTCTAAACTTACAATCGCTCTGCTGATCACCGATCTCCGAAAGGAGATGACACAACAAATTAGAATTCACTACAGCGTTAATCTCGGACTAAGGAATGTATTGTTATTCTGAGGTTACTCCATGTTTATTAATAACACTGACATAATGAAGTTACTACATGGTTAGTCTAGGGGGAAAGGGATTGTTAGTAATGGCGACTGAGAATCCTATTGCTAGCAATATATCCAACCAGGTCGACCTCCTCGCGGTTCTCTCTGGAAACTATCATGGTTAATTCCTGATGAATTCATCATGACGGGCTAACTGGCCTGTTTTCATTCTCATCTATCACCCTTCACTGGTGCCTCGCCAGCGTACCCCATTAGCGCAGGCGGGGTTACCATACCATTTTCATCCTTCAAAAAAAAACATGGTTAGTCTAGAATTAACTAGTCCAAGTGTAAGCTCGAATTAGACCTAGGAATATGTTTTTTTTTTTATTAATAAGACGGATAGAGTAAGAGTCGTATGTCTTTCACTGTAAGATATAAAAGGACATACAGCTTACAACCTCCTGGAACTGAAATGGATCGCTGATTATATTTCTACACACACTCTACATTGATTCGATTTTAAGGAATTTAAATTAGACAGTTCTAACAAAGATACCTAATTAAAGAGAGATTTGAGAGACACTCAATTTTACATAAACACATTAGTAAATCCATTTAAATACTCACCGTACTCGAGTAGCGGTTGAAATATGGATCGACCTCCTTCATGTTTCTATGAATAGCAGAAAATATAGAATCGAAGATTTTGTAATAAAGTTTAAAATCGTCAGCCCTTAATGCTATGAATCTCAAATAGATATCAGCTAATAATGAGTCCAAGTTATTAATTACTGGATTATCTGGTACACTTTCAATATGAACTCCTTGTGCTTCGTGCCTATAACAAAGGACATTATTACTACAATAATTAGCACATCTTATTCACCTCCACTGCCCTTCATACGCTTTATGTTTACTTAATATTTGGCTGGTACAAAGTTTTATTGTGCAATAAAGAATAAATAAATAAACAAACTATCGGTCAACAATTAAGTAGGTATTTAATAAACCTCATTAAACCTAACTAACCCCATTCAAATAATTTATAAAAACGTCAAACCTCTCATAGTATTAAGTATGAACCGTTTTGTCCCTTTTGTGTTAAATTCCCAGTTTGAAAGAAAGTGACAAAACAGTGTAATAATTAAAATATGTTTACAAAAGTCTGTAGATTATATAAATAAAGGGGTTAATCTTTATCTAACAGTAAAATAACCGATCAGCACTATAACTACCATAACATAACATTAATATAGGTATACCATTTACAGATGGGCAAAGCACCGGGTTTAAACCCGGTGCTTTGGTAAAAACCCAATAAACACCCATAAACTCCCATAATCACCCAAAAAAATAGGTTTTTACGTATTTTTTTGAAAATATGTAAGTAATACCAATAAATTATTTTTATAAATTGTATTGATCAATTCTACAATATTAAATAAAACGTTAACTAATAATATTTCAGGAAATTTTAAAAATCTATATATAATAAAATGAAAGTAATTAATTTTCAGTGTTTTCATGTTGCAGTTGATCAACATGTTGGCCTTTTGCTTCCCGTAGATACTTTAAAATTTCTTCATAACACCTCGTTCGCACACATGGCCGTATATATTTAAATTCTTGAGCCACTAACAGTCCGAAATACTCATTTCTTTTATCCTCTTCTCCATAAATTAAGCATTTAGAACAGTTTGTTTCTTCTTTCAGTAAATTTTCTTTTACTTTATCCTCGTTTTTTTTTCTTTGTTGCGACGACGCTGGGTAAATCATCTGGACACTGGGTCTCACTATCGCCAAATATATTTGGAGATCGGCTTCGGCTACGGCTTGGCAGACATTTTTTTCTTTCTACAATTTTAAATTAAATTTATTAGAATAAATGCTTCGAACACACGCGATCTAAGTACCTTTTGTGTTTATTATACCTTACCTACCTAGGTATAAAAAGAGTACTTACGTAGATTTTCTTTTATTAACTGTTTTATACGAAGATCTTGATCTCTCAAATTAGCATCCATTTTACTTCCAGTGATTATCAACTAAATTAATAATCCACAAAGTATTAAATAACGTTTTTATGAAATATTTAGCACAAAAACAATACCCTTTAAATATCGATCGTCAGTAACTGTGGCTGACTTACCTATATTCTAGCAAGCAGGACTGCCAGATGTGAAGGGGAAATCCCCAATAAATTGTTGCATGTGACTGATGATGTGAGCATGTTCGTTTCATAATAAAAATGTTGCCAGGTAACCAAAAAGTCGTATGTTTTTGTGCGAATTACGATCATAATCTTTACGATCGTACATTAAAAAATAGACAAATAATAGTATGAGTACGATTTAAATCGTATATCTGTCAACCCTGCTAGCAAGACAGCGACAAAATCACGTTGCATAACAATGTAGCCCAAGCTTATATCTTATGAAATATACGGAAGAGATACGGACTTAGAAAAAAACAGAAATGTTGTTCTTTGTGGAAGTCATTGATGAAATTCTATGTATTTTAGCCCGCAAACTTTCTTCAAACAAAAACAGCGCCATCTAGTATCGAGTTCTGTAATTATCTCTTTGTTTATGGATTTGAAGTAAGACCGCCACGCATGCAATACATTATGACTGGGGATTCCCCTATTCGTCGACGCTGAATATGAGGCGACGACAATCACTGTCAAACGTGTTCACTATTACTCTGACTCTGGTAACGTGACTTCCTGGTAACGTGTTAGGTAGGAAAAGCAGTAAAAAAGTGCATATTAAGGGAGCAGATTTGAAATAATATTTATACTTAACAAGAAATAATTAAAGGTAAGTGGATTTTTGAATGATACAATTATATCATGATCACTTAACAATTTTAACTTAAAATTAGATGTATTATTACAAGCTTTTATTTAGCTTGCGTTATGTAAATAAAAGTATGTAGGTATGTTCGTATGTTGATGCAATTATCCTCAATCCTCAACCGACTGGGATAAAATTTTCCATACACGTTTATTTTGGATGATAGTGCATAGTTAGCTGAGAGTCGTCATTGGATAATAATGGTGGATAGCCTAAGATGTGTACTAGATATTTATTTTTAACATAATATGCGTAAGTACCTAATCGAATTAAAGAAGTTGCTGAGAAAAATACAGAACAATACGATAATAAACTAGCGTCTGCGTTTAATCCTCCGAGGAGATGTAATTTTACAAAGGTTTTTTGTATTTATTTTATTATTTTTTTAATAAATTTATTGTAAATAACAAGAAATAATCATTGTAAAAAAATAGGCACTCTATTGTTGAATTTTCGTCAGACCAACTAATCATCGTTCATTTTTTTAGGTTCAATGGGGAGACCTAAAGATTTACGCATATGGGAGCACTACCGTACTTTACCAAACAAGTCTGTTTCTTGCAAGCTTTGTAATAAGGTCTAAAAATTCAGTAATGCTGCCAAAATGCTTCAACATCTTATCACTTGTCCAAAATCTCCAGAAACATTAAAAGACTCTATGAAACTTATAAAAGATAGCTCGTCCAAAACCAAAATGTCTGGACTGTCAGAGATAGAGACAAATGATTCTTTTATAAGCCCCTCGTCGTCTGCTAACACTACAATAAATGCTGAGTTTCAAGACACCGATGATCATATAAAAACAGAATTAGCGAGAGCTATATTTGTAACAGGGACACCATTATCGATGGTGCAACATCCTTTATGGATACAATTTTTCGAAAAATTGCAACCAAAATTTAAAATACCTTCACGTAAAGCTTTAGCGACAAAATACTTAGATAAAATATATAGAGAAATGCGTTTTGAGTTAAATGAGGAACTAAATGCTTGTAGTTACTTATACCTTCAGTGCGATGGCTGGTCTAATTTAAGAAATGAAGGAATAATAAACTTTCTTATATCAAAACCTCAACCTGCATACGTTAAAAGTTTGAATACAGAAAGTAATCCTCACACTAGTGAATACCTTAGCCAAGAAGTTGAAAAAGTAATGAAAGTGTATGGAGTAAATAAGTTTCTTGTACTTATTGGCGATAACGCTAGAAATATACAAAAGGCATTCGAATTAACAAAACTCAAATATCCACATGTTGTTCCTCTCGGTTGCTGTGCACATATCCTTAACTTGTTGTGCCAAGATATTGTAAAGATACAAGAAGTAACTGTGTTTATTATGCAAGCCATAAATATAATAAAAACTGTTAAAAGGAGTCAACGATTAAGTTCCTTGTTGATAAAATCAAGGCAGGGTGAAGATTCTACACAAACACTAAAATTGCCTTGTGCTACAAGATGGGGAAGTCATGTTACTTCGTTAAAAAGTTTGAAAGCAAATAAGATAGCTTTGCAAATATTAACAGTTAGAGAAGATGTGGTAATTTCAAGAGATATTAAAGATTTAATTCTAAGTGATGATTTCTGGACGAAGACAGGGGAATGTATAAGTATTTTGGAACCAGTCACTGAAAGCATATTTTACTTAGAGAGCGACCAGAATCGTTTGCATCGCACATACATTACATTTAGAGATGTACAAGCTAAGATACGTTTTGCATTAAATGAGATTTCGACATTGAGCGAAGAAAGCAAACAGCAGATTCTAACATCAGTATCTTCAAGATGCAATATGGCAATGAGGCCAATACATTTTGCAGCATATATTCTAGACCCAAGGACTCTAGGAGTCGAACTTACTCAAGAGGAAGAACTTAAGGGTATGGAGTTTATCTACAATTTAAGCCAACACTTAAGTTTGTCAAATGTAATGGCAGATTTGGCGTGTTATAAAGCTAAAGAAAACTTTTGGGCCAGAGGATTTGTATGGAGCTCATTAGATAGCATTGAGCCCCTAATATGGTGGAAAGGTATTTGTGGTTCCACTGAGTCAAGCAAAGTAGCGATTCGTATTCTATCAGCTCCCTGTACTTCGGCAGCCACTGAGCGTTCCTTTAGTATCCAAGGCTACATACATAATAACAAAAGAAATCGACTTACAACTGAAAGAACTGAAAAATTTCATTCATTTGTTATAACTGGAATCTTAAACATAAAGCTGAATGCGAGGACATTCAGTTTAATGAAGAAAATACCTTAGAAGCTTCCATTGAGCAAGTAAATGAACATAACAGTTTAGACGAAATAGAGCCTATCGAACCTATACAATTCATCGCTTGTAATAACTCTGAATCTGACAGTGATTGACTGTAGTTTTACATTTTACTTTCATCTCTTTCTTAATAAACTCAAAATCAAATTAAAAGTTTTTTATTCTGTAGGCTGCATAATAATATTGTCTATGTCCAGTATAGTGGACGTCTTGCGGCTGAGATGACGATGATGAAGTACAAAATCATAAACACCCAAAATATATATATATATATATATATATATATATATATATATATATATAATTTAATATATATAAACACCCGGTTTTTACCCACCAGACTTTAAACCCACCCAGGTGGATTGCCCATCTCTAGTGCTGAGTCAGTAGTTCTTCGATAATTCTTCTTTGTGCGTGTTATTTTAACTTTTTATTTTGCATAACTGCCTACCTATAATGTTTGTACCACTATAATGTTGTTACTCTGAGTTTAATGCAATTGATTGTAAGTATTAGCGATGTCACGTGCATTAGTTAAATATTGTTTTTATTTGTGAAATCCTGTAATTGATTTTTTGTCTTTACTGTTTTTCTTTAATTATGAAATTTTCTAGCTGTTGATTTTTCTTTAATAAAAAATAAAATAAAAAGATTTAATTTTTGTCTTTTTTTTATGGATACATTATATTTATCAGCGAATTATGCTGTATTGTATTTAAAAAAAAATTGTGCGATTCCTCTATTGACGCATATATACCATACAAATGTGTCGAAAATAAATCCTGGTGATAGTGCTTAATTAGCGCCTCTAGCAGTAATTGGCACATTTGCGATCATTTCCGCGCAAAACAGCTGTTTTATTTATTGTTTTTGTTTATTTATTCCTATTTAAAGTGTGATGAAACGTATATAAACTGAATTAATAATGTTGATAATGAAGTATGACAAGGTCGCAACGTTGTAACTCTTTACCAGAACACAGAAGAGGCAGAAGGGATTGGTTGGAAGGGAATGGAAATTAACAATCCCATTGCTAGCAATGTATCCTATCAGGTCGACATGTACAAGGTTCCCCCTGGAATCTATTGTGATTGTTTTATTATAGAATTATTCACGATACGCCAACTGACCTGCTTTATCGTCACCTATCATTCCTTACTGGTGCCTCGTCAGCGAATATCGTCAGCGCAGTCAATCATTAAAAAAAAAAAAACAGAAAACGGGTGGTCTACCATGAAATGAAATTTCGAATTTTCGGGCTCAATTTCGTGTTTTTGTTCGTACCGAAATCAACTCAGTAAATGGAGCTTAACATTTCGTTCATCATAAATCCTATCCTAATAGTCCAAAGGAACGATATTTTAACATTTTTAATAATTTTAAACAGCGTGTATTATGTAATAAATTTAACAGCAAATTTGTTTTGTTCGTCCTCGAAATTTGGGAAAATATTTCATGGTAGACTCTCAGAGAATACACAGAAAAAACTCTTTTTGTTGTGCCGATAAATATACGAGAGTGTTAAACAAATTTAAGGAAATATTTTTTATCATAAAAATATAGCCTTCTTTTTGAATGGTTAATATGGTCATAAACCATACTCATATCTAAAAATGGATAATATTAATATCATTTGTAATATGACAATTGCGCAATACACCGTACATTTCGCAATTCTGTACCAATTCTAATGATTCTTTTTGCAATATATATAATATACCAATACCAATCTAAATCTAATTCCTTATTCATAAACACAGAAAACGCCTTCTCCAAAGCTTCTTAACAAACGTTATATGTGATGCTTCTTTGTTAGAGGCATCATTTATTTTTCAATTGTTTTCTATGCGTATGCTCTTTCAAAAATAAATGTTAAAAATAGGATATTTTCTCCTCTATTCCCAAATATCGCATGTTTTAATCACAGGCTTTTAATAGTTTTTAGTTCTTAACAAAAATCGTAAACTGTAAACGTACTTAGTTCCTTTATTGTTTTCGTTTATATAGTTACTTACATGGTAACAGCGTCAATTAATCTTCTGGTGTGTGGTATGAACATTAAAAATCCAAAACTATATTAATATCTAGACTTAATATTATATAAACAGATTGATCACAACTCAATGAATAGACACTCGCACCTGTACTGCATGTATTGTTGTGACACAGCCGACTTATAAATTTTATTGATGTAATCAGAATTGAGAAGATAAGATAACCAATGAACATTTATAATGAATAACACTTATTCTTTGATATGAGATTGCAACTCGGTATTGTTTTTATTGTTAAAACTTTCGTAAGCACACATTATATTTTAATGTAATAACTAGCGGTTCTACTTACGTATAATTAGATCAAAAAAGCTCGACTACTATCGGAATCAATTCGAGATCCTTAATCATAGGTGACTAACTTATATTATGGAAGAAAAGTTTTACGAAGATGCCGCTACGATATTAAGTACAATGTAAACAAAGCCAACGGACAAATGATAATCCATATTTATAATAAATCTGTAGAGAGTTCAATTCTGTACATGAGATATATTTCCAAAACAACTATCAGGGGGTGATTAGTGATCGATACTGATGCCAAAAATGATATCAGTAAAATTTTTGTCTGTCTGTCTGTATGTTCGTTATAGAAGCAAAAATTACTCGATTGATTTTAAAGAAACTTGATACAATTATTCTTCATACTCCTGGGCAGGTTATAGTATACTTTTCATCACGCTACGATCAATAGGAGGAGAGCAGTGAAGGGAAATGTTGGGAAAACACTAACAAAAGAAGTCACTCCATTTTTAAGCTTCCGTCCTTAATGGCCACTTTTTTAAATGTAAAAATATCCACCCGTGCGACGCCGGGACGGGCCACTAGTATAACAATAAATGATAATATAATATAAAAATAAATAATCTACTTGAAACGCTACTGTTATGAATGAATGAATTAATTCTGTATTGAGCATACTGTGGTAGTTACAGGTTGATAGGTAGATAATATGGTGTAGGTACAGCAGTCTACAATACGGCCGTACAATATTAAGCCATTTCATGGGCTTATGTCTAAACATAAAAAAAAATCCTTTCATATATACGTCACGTGAACTAGTAGAATAATATTAAAATTTCAACCTAACAAGTCCTGAGTTTTGTAATCGTGTATCGTAACTTAAAAAACTAAAAAATAAGACACATTAGAAAATCTTTATTAATTACATATTATAGAAAAATCAATTTTATACAGTTAAGAGGAAAAAAAATTTATATAAAATTTTTAAATTATTATTATATATATAATATAGTTATTAATATCATCTATGTAATACATAAGTTATGTTATATATTTATATACGGCGTGTTGTGGCGTAATGTTTGTACTACAGTATTGAGTAAAATTTTTAGACTTAAATTCGATATAATAATTATAATGAAACTAAACGGTCGTAAAACTAAAAACCAAGTCTTTTTGTAATATGGACAAAATCATATTACGCCGACCCCAAATTATTGGGATAAGGGTAAGAAGATGATGAATTATAATGAAATTAATACTTTGTTTCAATCAAATGTTTAGTTGAAAGCGCAATTTATGTTTAAATATTTTTTTGTCTCTTCTTTTAATAATCTGCCACTCGCGCCATACAAAACCCCGCAAAATATAACTAATACATAACGATATACAAGTATCTATCGAAATAGTATAGGTTTGTACGCTTCATATTCGTCATCAGTCAACAGATATTCGGCGACCATTTTGTATTTAGTAGGATCGTCCAGAATGTTCACCAGTCTCTGCAGCTTGTTAGCGTACCCTGCCAGTATGTTAGATGCAACGCCCTCGATGAGATTATATTGCTTATTCCAGAAATATGGAATATTCCTGTTTGCCATGGCCCGATGCAACCTCTTTACCATTATTATAAAGAGCTCAGACGGCGGCTTATTCCAAAACCTTGGCTCTGACTTCCGCTCTACAACCTCCCAAAAGAACAATGTCTTTATATGATAATTTTCTATTTCTTTCATTTCTAAAGCATCCCGTAGTTTCTTTAGCTGTAAACAAAAAATATTGTATTGTTATTAATGAACGTTGTTAAATGAACATAAAGGGATCGTATTATAATAATTGTGAGAAGATATAACAAGTTCTATTCACTGATAATCCTGTGTCTGAAAATCTGGAAATTAGCAGCAGGCACTGACACAAAAATCTAATATAATGTTAAAAAAAACTAAGGTAATTGATCAGGATAAACGAAATAAATGTGTATCTAATGTATGTGAAATAGCTGTGAGAAGTATTATTTTTTATCTTCTCCTTAATGCTATATGGGGAAATATAAACTAAGTTTGTATAGTTGACATGAAAAACCGATTGGCACTGATCTCTATCCTTGTCATACATCTCTTAGTTCATCCACTCATATGCGTATATTTTAAAAATGGTTCCTTCTTTTAAAAATTCACCATCTATAGATTGATCTGAGCCTTCACTGGTATCCGCATTCTTTAACTTTCGTACTGTATATTTAAGTTTCATCATTCTTTCCAATTTACACGAACCAGTTTAAATAACCTTTCTCATTCTAAAACTGTCATTTTCTTGCAAACCAAGTCACTCTCACAATTTTATTCTAAATATGATCATGGCCTGCCTTACCATACAGATTCATCACAACGACCTCATTTCGACCTGATTTATCACAATTATATTTAGATGCTTCTAATAAACATTCATAAACAAGTAACTATTATATATAGTAAAGCTTATAAAAATATTTTCAATATTCTCTCTCTTGCTATATAAGCAGTATTGTATATCCTTGTTATATCCACAACCAAGATTTTCAATTTCATCCGCTTCTTCCAATAACTCATCATATACAATAATGCTTACAAGGATTTACAATCGTACCTGATAAAAACACAACATTCCATATTTTCACCCTAATCCTATACACCTAACAGCACCAGGTCTACCATGAAATGAAATTCCGAAATTTCGGACTCAATTTTGTGTTTATGTTTATACCAAAATTAGACCAATAAATGGAGTTTAACATTTCGTTCGTCATACATCCTATCATAAAAGTCCAAAGGTACGATACTTTAACATTTTTAATATTTCCAAACGGCATGTATTATGTAATTTTAATATCAAATTTCTGTTTCGTTTGGCTCCGAAATTTCGAAAAACATTTCATGGTAGGCCCTCAGATATCTTTCATTTCTCGAACTGATACATAATCTACACAGTCCTGATTATATAAAGATAAACGCATATAAAAAACATATCGCACAGTCTGTCGAAGTTGTAAGTATTGTAAAAGAGTTTCTGGACAAACGCCAGCTGTCGTCAGACTTTGCCGGTTCGGGCACAACCATCCATCCATAGGCACCCATCGAACATTCAGCAGGTATGTCGCGGTAGCCACTCCCAACTGGCCAGCGCTCCTCGGGAAACTGCAGAGCTGGTACTAAATCAACGTCCATTTTGAAACCAGTACTCTCGTTGGTTATCTTTAAAGTTATCGCAGGACCTGACTCCGACGTACGAATAACATATGGAACGTTATCTACTGTCACCAATCTATAATTTCCATAACATTCAAATTTATTCAAAGCCCTGTACACAACACTTTTAAACCAATCGCTGAATTTGCTTCTAAGTAAATAATTTTTTTTTTTTAATGTCCTCGCCTTTCCATTTATATGCCGTCTTGTTTATTTCCCACTCGTCTCTGATGGGCAATCTTTGGTATTGCGTACCCATTTTTAGTTTGATATATCCATTGCTCAAGGGTTCCAACACTATATCACTGTTACAAGGATTAAAGAGATCTTCTCTCTTATTAAGTGGTAGACCAATGACTATGTACATATTAAAGTTATTGGGTTTTTTTATGTGTAATCTGTCAGAATGTCTTCCCACCGCCTGAGTCTGTTTGAAAATATTAAATATATTATTATTGTGAAATAACGTATTATTGTACCTATATCTACCTAATTCTACATCGAGCGGGGAAGGGATTGTTAGTAATGGAGACTAAGAATCCCATTGCTAGCAATATACCTAGCCGGATCGACCACCTCGCGGTTACTTGTGAATTCATCATGATGAGCTAACTGGCCTGTTTTCATTCTCATCGATCACCCTTCACAGGTGCTCCGTCAGCGTATTCCGTTAGCGCAGGCGGGGTTACCATACCATTTTCACCCATCAAAAAAAATTCTACATCGAGGGTGGGGAGGGTAGAGGAAGTTTTGTTAGTAATGGGAACAATCAAGCCTATTACTAACAATTGTTAAAACTGATTGTAAACTAATTTGGTGTAATACGAAGTAAAGCATAAGCTTTTTAGGGTTCCGTTTTATCCTTTGGAGGTACGGTTTATAGGATCACTTCATTGTCGTCCATTCATCCGTCAAGACCCTTTTTTTTTTAGAAATGCGTGTAGGTATCAAGATGAAATTAATATCATATACTCAGGTCAATCAGTTTTAACAAAAAGATTTTATGTTAGTAATAGGAATCAAAACCTATAGTTGATTGTTCCCATTACTAACAAAATCTAAATTTGTAGTTATTTCATAAAAAAAAAAATTAAACTTGATTATTTTGTACGGAACCCTCTACCCTCCCACCCTCGATGTATTAATATGATTTTTTTTTTGATGGGTGTGTGAAAAGGCTATGGTAACCCTGCCTGCGCTAACGGGATTCGCTGGCGGAGCACCAGTGAAGGGTGACAGATGAGAATGAAAACAGGCCAGTTAGCCCATCATGATGAATTCATCGGGAATTAACCATTATAGTTTCCAGGGGGAACCGCTGCGAGGAGGTCGACCTGGTTGGGTATATTGCTAGCAATGGAATTCTCAGTCTCCATTACTAACAATGCCTTTCCCCCCCCCTTTCTCGTGGGTTAATGGGTCATAATTAAATGGTAAACCAGCCTGCGCTAACAATATGCGCTGGCGGGGCACCGGTGAGGATGAAAGGGCAAGTCAGTTAGCCCACAGTGATGAATACACCTGAAATTCAGCACGATGATTTCCAGGGGGAGCCATGTGGAGATTAACCTGATAGGTTATATTGCTAGCAATGGAACTGATAGTTCACATTACTAACAATCCCTTTCCCCCAGTAACGCGGACTATCAGTCCTATTGCTAGCATTATACCTTGTCAGGTCGACCTCGACTTGGTCACCTTTAGAAACAAACGTGCTGAATACCAGAAGTATTCAAGACTCAGGCAAGGGCTCACAGAACTGCCTTTTCATTCTCACGTATCATCCCTCTCTAGTGCCCTACCAGCGTATACCGTTAGCGCAGGCGGGGTACCATTCTATTATCATCCATTGAAGAAGAAACTGCGCTTGCCAATGCGCCTGCCAAACGTAGCTGCTTAAATAAATGATATTATTAAAAAATACTTTTTTAAAATTAGGTGTCCTTATCGTCGAAGCGTGACACGTTATCTTTTCATTTATTCTTTACTAGCGGCCCGCCCGGCTTCGCACGGGTGGACATTTTTATAACGTTTTACATTTTTATCTGTACCTACCTAGCTACCTATTTATTTATTTATTTAAGAAACACCAACAGCATATTGCATTATAACATATAGGTATAACAAACATTAAATATAATACAATATTAATGCACATGCCTATTATAGGTATTCACAGCATTCACTTTAACATAATTATACAGTGCAAGAAAATAAAGTAAATAATAAAAATTTCATAGATGGCCCGCCCCCACCTGCCCCTCTTCAGCACCGCTAAAATATGGTATGGTAACATGTACAACGCGACAGCCTTATTTTTTCTATTTCTATGAATTATTAAATTTGTAATATCTATTCAATTCGTAGTCGATTTGAACAATTCAAAAAGTAATCTACATAAATTGAAACAGTTTTGAAAACAATATGATTTATTTGAACAGAAGTATGAATAACATGGTGTAATTTTGGTCGGTATTTCTATCAACTTTTAAATGTAAAAAGTAGTTATTGTGACATAACGATAATAGTTGGACATATAGTATCGCTGGACATATAGTTTTTTGTAGTTATTGATGTTTTCTTCAATATCGTAGAACATACTTTTGTTCTATCACCAATAGTTTCCGCAGCGCACGCGACGTAAGATATTTTATAGCATTTTTTTTACACCTTGAGTTACGTTACTAATGTTTTAGTAAGGATCCCTAATCTTTTCTAGCAATAAATATAGCCTTTGTTACTCAGAGTGAATGTAGCTTTCTAATGGTGAAAGAATTTTTTAAATTGGCAAAGTAGTTCTGGAGTTTATTCATTACAAACATGCATACACACAAAAATACAAATCTTTCCTCTTTATAATACATATTAGTGTAGAAAACATTGCAATAAAAATACAATATCATTTATTGAGTTGTCTATAATATAATACCAACGATAGGCAATCTATATATTTTAAGCCAATAAAGGCATAAACGTTCTTGCAAGTTTTCTTGAAGGAATGGTATATCTTTACCGACCTTCAATATTTGTGCTAAATGTGCGGGTTGTTTGAAGAAATTTTTGAGCGCTTTTTTTGCATAATAATAATAATAATCATTTATTTACAACAAAAAAAACAGATACAGGTTACATATTTAACACAAACACGCCCGTGCGAGACTTAATGTCAGGTCGCCGTGTGGTTATTAGTCCGGACAAAATAAGCTCACCCCCGGAGAGCTTCCTTTTCCGAATGGATGTCGTCAGAGATTTCAGGCGAACAGTCAAGGGATGGTTCAGAGAGGAGATTAGCAGCCACGCGATCTCAAATGAGCATTCTTAATGATTCTCTTATCTTACATCTAGAATGGACCAGTGTGATAAGCGTATAGATCATCTTAGTGCTCGTGTCGAATCTCTCCGTCAAAGCACTCAGAGAGGTGGGACAGAAGTACAGAAAAGCTTTTAGGGTCTATAGAACAATTAAAGACAGAACTCAATGATAGAGACCAAGAGGTTTATTAAACGACATCGAGATTTATTATTGACAGAAGGGTGAAAGGCTGATGCGATGATTGATTCTAAGTTGTCGAGGATCTGGTCAGCGTCATGCGGGTTGGTCCAGGACGGTCATCATTGTTATAAAGTCCCCGTCTCATTGTTATTCGACTTGGTCGCAGAGTTCTTCGTTATCAACTGTTAAAGCTATTTAGACACCGGTAACTTGCGTTTCTATGTTAACGAAAGGTTGAAATCAATTTCAATTTATTTATTGCATTCTACAATATTATTATGAAATATGTTAATAATTATTAAAGTATATTGTAGACGTTGTCGGGCACAGCAATTAGAAGTGAGAAGGGCGTCGATCCTTAAATTTTCATAAAGATTTCAATAATTAAATAATTCAATTTTAATCTCATCAATGTCATTAAATTCCCAATTAATGTTGTGATTTTAATGAATTGTTTTATTTCCATATGTTTTATTTTAATTTAATGCAATTTAATGGTATTTTCTTTATATTTTTATATCTTTTTATTAGTGTCATTATCAATTTTAGTATTATCAACTAAACCGATAGTAATATTTAAATATTATGCGTTATTTTTTTTATTACAAAATCTTTATCATTTAAATATTAATCTATATTGTAATGACATTTTTTAGTTAATAGTTGTTTTAATTGTGATATGAATACTCTATGGTTTTGTTCTTTTGGTAATGTTACAGGTAGACGATTAGAGATATTTATAGACATTACATAAGGGCTTGAGGAATTAAGTTTAAGTCGAGAGGAAGGCAGTTGGAGTTTATTTTAATGAGTGAATGAGATAGTCTTATTTATTCGCACAGCCTACAACAATGATAGATGTACTGTTTTAAGATGGATGAAAAAGAAGGGTATATGTCGATGACAACGTCGATAACGTCGCCTGCGCCATCTGTATACGCTGGCGGGACACCAAATAATGAAAAATAAGCGAGGATGGAAAAGAAGGTCAGTCAACCCATCGTGACTTCGCTTCGCTAGGAATTAAGCACAATGGTTTCCAGGACCGCAAGGTGGTCAATCTACCAGGGTATATTGCTAACAATAGGGCTACTAAACTCAAATATCCCTTCACCCATAAATGTATTTAGGGCGGATAGGAGGGCAGATAGGCCATTAACTGTTACTACTCCAGAATTATCTAGTACTCATACCTGGATCGGGGGCGGAGCTATGGAGCAGATACGTCTACATTTATGCGACTTTTTTTAATAAGAGAATAATCTTGAATTCGCCAATATTTACAACTATATTGTGTATCAATTAATTATATAATATTTATTATAGTATCGAATACTTGGTAATGTAGCTCAAAATCGTCATCCTTCAACGCTATGAATCTCACATAGAGGTCTTCCAATAGTGAGTTTAAGTTATTAATCACTGGTCGATCTGATGCTGAGCTATCAGAAAAAGCTATTCTCCCGAATTCTAGTGCACTACTGTAAGAAAAAATATTGTCTATCTATAGTTATAATCTTCTACATATAATATAAATCTCATGTCATTGTGTTCGTTCACGCTAACCTACGAAACCGCGCTAACGCTTTTGATGATTTTTTTGCAAATCTGTATATTTTGCTCCAACCGAGAGATGGGATAACTTTATCCCGAAAAGAAACAAAAGGTGATCTTAGATCAAAACGTTCACCGGAACAGTTAACACATTATATTATCTGTGTAAAGACGAGGTCCAGCTTCACAGGGGTAGATAGAATTTTCTAAAATGATATTAGTCGCCGATAATGTAGTTTCTATACGTGAAATGATATATCTTACAAGACACTTGCTCAGGATTCACACGGTTCTTTAAATAAAATATATGTATATTCGCAGATAATATAGCTATCTAAAGGTGAAAGAATTTTTTTTAAATTAAGGTAACTATAGTTGTGTTGGCATCGAATGGAAACACTATAAATTTCATAACATACGTTTACTATCGAAACGGAGTTACATTTAAATAAACGGCGTAATCGCGCGAGCCAGTGCGTCACGTAGAGAAAATGCAAGAGCCAGTCGGTAACTGTCTAGCGGCGACGGCGCCGCTAACGGTAGCGCACAGGAGGGCGCCGCGCGCGGGGAGGACGATCGAAAAGGGGAATTACTCGCTGCCGTTGCGCGGTGACGGTTTTAGGGGCCCGCGTTAAATAAATAGTTTATTTAATTTATACACTAGAAACAGAAAATCAAATCATCATCATATCAGCCATTATCCGTCCACTGCTGGACATAGGCCGCCCCCATAGACTGCCATAAGGAACGATCCTGAGCCACCTGCATTCACTGACTCCCTGCAATATATATGAAGTCGTCACTCCATCTAGTGGGGGTCGTCCTACACTGCGTTTGCCCGTACGATGTTGTTGTTTAAGAACTTTTCTTTACCATCGGTTGTTCGAGCTACGTGATTAGCCTACGTGGCAATACCATTTCAGCTTTGCTTATCCTTCGGGCTATTTTAAAAAATCAAATGTTTCCTTTATATTAAAATCAAATATTTACCTTTAAAATAGAACCTTATTTTATTTCTCTTTAATGTCATTAAAATATGTTTCTAAATTTTAACCGCGACTTCATCGGCATAACCAGGATAAATAATATCCTATGTGGTATAACACCATATTATTTATACAAACTATTTGAGTTGGGGAAGTCCCTAACACAAATAGTTTGTATAAACCACACTAACTGTATCCCCCGGTTTCGTCCACATGTGTAATTATATAAAGACTCCTATGTTTTAAGTGAAGATATAACCTATACGTGCACCAAATTTCAATCGAATCCGATCTGTTGTTTTATCATGAGGATAACAAACACCCATTCAAACTTCCTTAGAAAGTTTTACATATTATAATTATAGCAGGATTTTATGACGATCCGTAAAATAGTCCAGGCATTAAGAGCTACCTGTTCGTTAGTCTTGTAAGAATGAGATATTATTATTCTTTAAAAAAAAATTGCTTAAAAATTTTATACACTCACTCTCTGTTGATGTCTGATCCTCTAGCATAAAAATGCGATTCGGATGTGCTACTTGAAGTGCGAGCTCGCGGGAGTCTCTTGATGTGTTGTATATTTTGTCTACTCTCAACTTCTTCGATTCTACTCAAGAGATATAATCCACCCGCCACAGTTGCGGCTGCCGCTCCAATGCCGAGGGCTAACCCCCACCAGAATTCACTGTCGGCGTCCTCTCTGTTACGATTACCTTCACGACTATTATTCATTTTGCTGTAAAAATATAGGTGGGATTGGTATGAAACGGAACGTATGTTAAAAGTGAATGTTGTATGCATAGATTGGAATACGAGGAAGGATGACTGATGTGGAGTGAAGTGGGGAACGGTTGGAGAGTGAAAGTTGAAGATTGACGACGACTGAACAAATGTGTGTGCTCCTACGATTATTTTTCTAAGATTTAAATTTTGCAATTACATAAAGTTGAATCGCTTGTGTAAAAAGGAATTTTATTTCTGGCTCCTTGGACCTACATATATAATTTTTTATGAAATTTCGAATGCCGAACTAGCTGACAGGACCATCTGATGGAAAGCCGTAACCGTCACTTACAAATATGAAGTAGGTACGATGGACGTTACAGAATACTCCGCGATACCCATGGTTGTTCTCATGATTTGCAATAAAAATAAATTAAAAAATATTTTTATTTTCTAAACGAAATCCGATAGAGGTATTCAAAATTAATCTGCTAGGACAAAGGGAGTATCTCATATGAAAAGATTTCATTTTAACATTTTAAAAATGTATTTTTTTTTTTTATTACTTTTATTCTAAATAGTTTTCGATTGAAGATATAAAAAAGAAACAGTGTCCCACTTTAAATATTAGGTAAATACAAGTGAAGAAAAACGATTTTTCTAACAAGACCAATTTCAGAGAAATCATCAAAAATATTTACCATCAAATCTTTATGGTCTGGACTAGGCACATCTATGACCCAGAGTAAAGACTTAACAATTGCAATAATAATTATTATTAGGTATCTGTTTCAAAAATACATGGAACATATATGGTCATTTTATTTCAAAACTCGACAAATTGATAAAACCTTGAATTTTTTTTTTTTTTTTTTATTATTTTGTGTGCGTAATACTCAGGGTGTAAGTTCAACTCGGATTTGGACAGTTTTCTAAAGGACTTCAAAAATAAATACTCAGTTACATTGCTTTATTTTTTAAGTTTTTTCCCCCATAACTCTGTCAGTTGTAAACCCATTTAGAAAGTTCTTTTTTATCTGTAAGAAAATACTTACAGATTGATCCCATAGAAATTTTATCAAAACTGGTTCAGTAGTTTAGTTTTTAATTAAAAAAAAACGAAGTATGTTTTTTTATGGAACACAATTTTAAATTATGCATTTAATCAAATTAACGGTTCCCCGTTGAAACCATCGTGGTTAATTCTAGTGGAAATTGATGCGCTAACTGACCTGCTTTCATCGTCACCTATCGTCATCACTAGTGCCCCGCCAGCGTATACCGATAGTAAGTTTTTTTAATGGGTGATAATGGTATGGTAACCCCGTCTACGGTATCGGTATACAATGGCGGGGCACCAGTGACAGATGACTAATTAGGATGAAACAGGTCAGTTAGCCCATCCTGACGAATTCAACTAGAATTAGCCACGATGGTTTCCAGGGGAACCACGTGGAGGTCAATCTGATAGGGTATATTGCTAGTAATGGGGCTATTTGAGCCCATTACTAACAATCCCTTTCCCCCTGAAGGCGAGGGTTACCGTTCCATTATCACTCATTAACAAAAAAATACATATATACTTACCAATATTTAATTATTCCTTTAAAACAAATATAAAGAGAACTATCGATTTTGAATACACAAATATAAGTTAAGACTTTTCAGTTAAGAGTAGTGTTCTGACCGCAAAACAATATTTATATAGGTACCACTACATATGAAATTACAGTTAAATACTGATGTGTGTGTGTGTGTGTGTATTATAAGTAACCAAAAACACTAGCTTAACGAATATGTTGCCACCTTAATCACTGATTTAGTAACTAAAATTTATGAAAAAGGCAGTTGGATTTCAAGATTTTAACTATAAAAGAAACTACTCTATTCTATATATATATATATATATATATATATATATATATATATATATATATATATATATATATATATATATATATATATATATATATATATATATATATATATATATATATTAACTATATAATAATAATATAAAATAATAAATAATAAAACTATCATTAACCAATTTACATAATCTTTTTCATTTAGACACGGTATTTAAAGAATTAAATTTCAAGCTTATGAATAAAATTTTCGCCATATATTAGAGAGCACAAGTACTTTTCCAAATTTTGAATAGACTATTTAATAACTATTTATCTAATAGACTATGTTTCGATCCGAAACATACATTTAATTCCATTCCATTATTTTTGTAAAAGAAAAACTTGTTAAGAATTTATAGTAAATCAAAAATAATAAATTTTGAAAAAGGACTACAAAGCGTCTATAACAGAGCTCCCACTTTAAATATCCGTGAAACGCGTGATATACGTTTATATCAACCACATGTTTAATCGTCAATAACATGTTTAAATAGTTGTATAATTGAAACCAAAAAAAATATACTTAATACTAAAATTAACTAACAATTGAGTAGATATTTTTAACAAAATAATAATAACGAGTAGTGACTGTTTTAAAACCACTCCTCGTTTTGATATTTTCAACGTGTCGATAAAACGTGATTTTAACCCATATTTAATGTAAGAATATTCGTTTACATGAGTATATCTATAATTTAATTTTATATTTAAGGAGTACGAAATTACCCTGATATACCCGAAAATTATTATGATAGCAACACTGCTACTATCGGCGGGGACACGAAAATAAGTCTCATTGCATGTGTGCTATTAGTGTTGTCAATGCCACCAGAAACCACAATTGAATGTGGGAATTCCTAGAGTTTTATTTAGAATTGCCAGTATAAATCTTCTACCAGTTCTACTATATTAGGAGAATAAAAGAAAGTTATTTTTAATTAGGTAAATATTTAATTTATTTATATAAATTATATATATTATTACGACATTAATAATTTGCTTCGATTATATATAACCATAATGTAATAAATAAGCACCTAAATGTACATTATTGTGTATCATAGTCTTCTAATAATTTTCACAAATATTGAAATTACAAAACGAATTGTAAATACATACATATATCTGCTTTCTTATCTGCAAATATTGACAAGAAAGTAAACAATAATATAATTACAAATATTTGTAACGTAATAATTTATAATAAAAAATTCAATACGCTGTTATAAGTAGGTTCTTCTTTATAACACAGACATGGTTCCCACTTTCCATCAGGTGGGCCGTCAGCTTGTTTGCCGTTCTAAGTTGTATAAAAAAAAACATAGTAGTTAAACAAAAATGTACTCTGCTGTAATACACACACAACCGGGGAGAAGGGATTGTTAGCAATGAAGTTTGACAGCCCCATTGCTAGCAATATGCCCTATTAGATCGACCTCCACGTGGTTCCCCGTAGAAACCATCGTGATTCTTGTTGAATTCGTCACGATCGCGATGGGCTAACTGACCTGCTTCATCCTCATCTATCATCCTTCACTGGTGCCCCGCCGGTGTATACCGATAGCGCGGGATTTAATGGATGAGAATGGGTAACCATTCCATTATCATCCATTAAAAAAATTCGGACACAACCATACAATCATAAACAGACAAATTGAAGGCCAACAGTTTCATTTACATTCACAACTAGGGTTGCCACCTTTTTTTGCAATTAAAGTACATTGGTTATTATAGGTAAGAAAAATAGTATATAGTATCAAATTAAAGTACAATTTATTTTTATTTATTATTCTTAAAAACATACTTTTATTACAGTTTGTATCAAATCTGTATCTCTACTATGAAGTTACTGTCCACGTCTTTTTGTTTCTCTGTTTATATCTGAACCACAAAACGAACTCTGATGCGGGTTTCATAGTTATTTGAATTAGGGCAGGTTTTTTTTTTATGCAACTTAGAATGGCAAACAAGCTGATGGCCTACCTAACGGAAAGTGGTAATCGTCACCTATAGACATGAGCAGTACCATGGACATAACAGAGTATACTGTTTCACCCATGATACCCTCCATGCGTTGCCATTCCTGAGGATTCAGGTTTTATTCTTCTGTACCCTGTAAATTCACTGCCATATTCCACCCTTCAAACTGAAACACAGCCATGCAAACACAACTGCTTCGGCTGTAGTACCTTCCAAATGTTCCTCAAATATTGCGTTTAAATTACGTCCACCATGTACCCTCTTGTATAGGCATTCCGTCACCCGTATCCAATAGCGAGGACGGGATGCCTTAAATACTGTACCGCAAACCATAAAAAAAAAAACAACACAACTGCTTTACGGTAGAAACGTACGTACGTACGTACGGACAGAAGTGCTCAAGCAAACGACTTTTATACAGTTTCCCTTTGGTGAGATTTGTCTAAACTGAATAAGAATTTGAACAAATGAATAATTGACCCGATCACTAAATATTCTGCTGATGTTTGATAATAGTACAAATAAATAATCGCATAATTGATAGGTATTTGATTTAATGTTTCAATTTGTTTGCTACTATTTGAATTGTTGACGATCGGCGCCTTACTGTCCGACTCGATTCACTGAAACTGCGTAGAGATGTTGCATCTCTGCACATCTTCTACCGAATTTATCATGGGGAGTGCTCTGAGGAATTGCTTGGATTGATACCTGCAGCTGATTTTCACCATCGTACAACCCGCCATAAACTAAAATTTCATCCCAACCATCTGGATCAGTGGCGGTCTTCAAGGTACTTTCTACCACGCACAACCACCCTTTGAAATCAACATCATAATCTTCAAAAAAAGAGCATATTTCTTTTTAAAAGGCCGGCAGCACACCAATGCAATGCTGCTGGTGTTGTGGGTGATCATGGGCAGCGGTAGTCACTTATCATCAGGTGAGCCACATGCTCGTTTGCCTTCTGTGTTGTAAAAAAAATACTAGTTTAGGCAGTGTTTCTGTGTTAATTGTTTTATCCTTAAGTGTTTGACGGCTCAAACAACCGTCCTGAAATTTGGTATACACGCACTATTTGGGATGGTAAAGGACATAATTAACATATTCCGGTTAGTTTAGCTTTAAAACCAAAATAACTGGTTTTGCCATAATTGAAGTCGTTTGTTTTGTGGAACTATCGTAAATTATTTGTAGTTGGCTCATTTATAATTGTAACAATTGGAGATGTCATTTATTCTGGAATAAATTGCGCATTACGAAGCAAAATCTAAATGCAAACACGCTGTATTTTACAATTGCGGGCATAGAAGTATCATCATCATCATATCAGCCTTTAACTGTCCACTGCTAAACATAAGTCACCCTCTTGAGAGGTTTTGCCAATAGTTGCCACACTTGGCAGGTGGATTGGCAATCGTTTTGGAGATGTTTTAAGAGGGATGCTGCTGCCCATTCCTCGCCGTCGCTTAGTCGTTTCTTACGACACCCACGGAAAAGGAAGATGCTCTATTCTGTGCTGGGATCACACCGCCAAAGGCATCGAAGTATAGTCTGATTCAATAGGATTTACCCGTTGTGTTTATGATTGAAGGCGCTTGTTTTTTTTTCGGAGTAATATATATCTATGAATAAAATTGCAGTCTGAGATTGCTGGTCGATATGGAAGGTTGCGGAACTTGTGCTAGCAATAGTGGTGATCGAGATTTGAGTGTTGGCAAGACACATACAGGTAGAGGAATTAAACAATGATATGGGCTTCCGCAAGATAACACCTACTTTAGTAAAATATTAATGTTTCTATTTTGTTCTGAAAGATTCTTTTTAATTAGTGAAAATGAAATAGTAACTCCGTCTACGCTATTGGTATACGCTGGCGGGGCACCAGTAATATATGATAGGTCCTCACCTATCATATATTACTGGCGCCCCGTACGAAGGTCGGTCAGTTGGGGCCCATTGTAAAGAATTCGCCAAGAATTAATATAGAATAGAAAGAATATATTATAATTGAATGGAATAGATAGGACGCTAGATAATCTGGACAAGTGTATAATGGTTGATTGCATGGAGGGTAAGAGGGCAGGGCATCAATCTCGATCGAAATGTCACCAATCTGTATGGTTCCTGGGACGAGGGAGCCTGGATAATGATCGTTGGGGATCATTCCTACCAGAGGGAGACTTTGTACTAAAGTCGATTGCATGGGTACCTCTGTCCCATTCATGTTTCAACCGTGAAGCAATTGTGTTTGCATGGCTGTGTTTCGGTTTGAAGGGTGGAATATAGCGTGAATTTACTGGGTATAGAGGAATAACACCTGAGTCCTCAGGAATGGCAACGCATGGGAGGTATCATGGGCGAAACAGTATACTCTGTTATGTACATGGTACTGCTCATGTCTATAGGCGACGGTTACCACTTTCTAAACAGGTGGGCCGTCAGCTTGTTTGCCATTCTAACTTGTATAAAAAAAAAAATTCCTGTTGGTCACGACTCAGCCTGTAGGATGGATTGATAAGAAATAAAAAGACAAATATGAAACAAAATATATTTAATACCTCCTTCATTTTACCAGTCGGCGTTCACCTATAACTATTACAATCGGGTATGTAAAAGACACAACCGTATCAACAAAACGTTCTAACCGTTAGAGCCTTACAAAACAAGGAACGTTATGTACTATTTACAGGAAACTTATATAACACGACGTCTCGCGCTCGACAGGTTTTTAGCAACAAGTGATATTGAATTTTTATTATACCTACAAGATCAAGAAACAAATACATTTATAAATGTAGAATTTCATTACACTAAGGGTTGGTATATTTATATATTGTAGTTGCAATATTTATTAGCTCAATAACAGATATTATTAAATAACGGTTATTCAATATCATGAAAGGAACCCAAAAGAAATTAATAAGATATCCGTCCGGTATGGGCGATATCGAACACTTTTTTTTCCGGTATAATGTCCAGAGGAATCCAATATACATATATTACAATGCTACGATATTACTTATACCTACAACTGAGTTTTAATCTTGGATTGACATGAGGAATGTCTTTAGAGGATTAAAGCCCTTTATTTGAGTAACCATACGGTTTCCTCACGTTCCATCCTAGATTTTTTTAAATAAAAATGGAATGGTTACCCTGCATTCGCTATTAGTTTATATAGGCTGGGATTAAAGGGGTTGATGGGTGAGGATGAGGTCAGGTCAGTCTACTTGCAGTGTCGAATTCATTGGTAGCAATTGAGGTCGAATTTTTTGTGAATGTGTCACGTCCACTTGTTAGGTTCTAGTATACGATAGAACAATGATATATAATCAATAACTTTATCTACATTGGTATTTACTACATTTGCTAAAAATCTTCGTGCGCGACACATAATCTAATCTATGTTCGTCATCGAAATAATTATCTATTCATGAAATTGATATGCTGTTGCGGTAATTTCACCGCATAGATAAAGGATAAATAGGTATATTTCTAAATTGGCAAGACATTAGCGTTGTAATTGCATCATACTTTAGTCACATGAGACACCGAACGTATCTATTTCACGTTAATGTATGAGAAAGAATGAGATGGACACATTGTGTCCTTTAGTCTTATGAATGCGGTATTGTAGACATATCTATGTATAAATAGTCTATTTTATTATTTTCTCAATGACCAAATCTTGGTAAAAAAAAACCATAACTTATGTTGATTGTGTGAAAAGCAATATATAATGACGGTAAATGTTGACTGGGAGAGAATACTATGTATATATATATATATATATATATATATATATATATATATATATATATATATATATATATATATATATATATATATATATATATATATATATATATATATATATATATACATATTTGTAAAACTACAGAGAAAATTATAAAATAGACAAAGACAGAGAATAGAAAGTTCACTGCATTCATTCATCTTATAGTAATAATTATGGCATTTTTACAGTTAATAAAAATTGATCTGCTGATTACTGATGAGTTACAGATTTTGTGAATTACAATTTGAGTTCATGTCTGGTCACATTAGTCAGGCAGAGAATCAATGTCAAGATATACAAAAGGGTCAATTTTGAAGCGCTATTTCTCTAAACCTAACACTAAAATGAAAATTTCAATTTAATAGCGAAATATTTAAGGATCAATATGAATAAAATTTCATTTTTTTATCCATAAAATAGTAATTTTGTTAAAATAATCAAATTGAAATATTAGATTAAGAGAAATGGCGTCACATCTGCAATATTTTGTATTTGTGTTAACAATGAAAAATATAAATTAACTTTACAAATTTATTTAGGTAAGTATTAACAAATACTAGCGAACGTGTAAGATTTGTTACTGACATTTTTACTAGTGAATATACCTCCAGGATGTAATGAAAATTATTACCTTTTAAAAGGATGTTTCATTAGTGAGTTTTTTTTTTATGGGTGAAAATGGTAGGGTGATTGATGAGAATGAAAACAGGCCAGTTAGCCCCTCATGATGAATTCATCAGGAATTAACCATGATAGTTTCCAGGGGGAACCGCGAGGAGGTCGACCTGGTTGAGTATATTGCTAACAATAGGATTCTCAATCTCCATTACTAACAATCCCTTTCGTCCCTCCATCAGTGAGTTGTTACATTTGCAGACCCTTACTTTCCCGCGGGTGTCGTGAGAGGCGATTAACGGAACTTAATAGTTGAGGGATGAGTAACAACGCCCCACTTAAAACATCACCAAAGCCTAACTGTGGTTGCTAATCCGCCTGCTAAGCGTGGCAACTATTAGTAAAGGCCCCCAAGAAGCAGCCTTTGGTTAGTAGGAGACAGTTAATGAACGATATGATGATGATAACATTGGCAAACCACTTTTGGGATGCTGACAGTATTTGATTTCACCCTGTATATAAGGTGACCAACTATACTCATTTACTGAGTTTTGCATTCTTTTTTCGCAAACCGTACTCTTTTCAAATTCTGTACTCTGACAGTACTCATTTATATAATTTTATACTCATTTGTATTTCTAAAACATTTTTTAGATTATTTTATTTCATTATTAGACGAACATCCTCATTTAGCAAAAAAAAAAAAAAAATCTACACCGAAGAAAAACATGTTTTTAAAAGAAAATAAAGTTTTTATCGTTTTTTGTTCTTTTTTTCGACTATGAAATACTTGCAATGTGTAATACTTTTGAACAAAAAATAGTCGGTCACCTTACTGTATAGAAAGCCTTGCAAGTTTTTAGAACATACAAGTGTAGGTATATTTATGTCTGTGTTATTAACTCTTATCTCTTTTGATATACTGACCGTGATACCCTTCGACAGACTGATTCATTATCGTAATATCTACTTTCACAATGATAAAAAGAACGTTCGAGATTTTTTGGGGATTCTACGCATTTAGTGTTGCCATTTTGACAAGAGTTAGAAAAATTTGCATATTATATGATTAAGGCAATGCAAATATAAAATAAACGTAAACAAATAACTTGGTAGTTAAAACATTTGAATACAAAAAACACCTTAATGTACTATTTATGTTGACATATAGACACAAGAGTCTATATAAGAATTATTAAATATTTTGACGACCAAATAAAAGTGAATGTTCAATACATATTAGAAAAAAAGGTATTTGATAGATGTACAGACAGATAAATTATTTATGCACCATTGTAAGTAGATAATTTATGAATTTAAACTACCAAAATCTTAAAGAAAAAATTTTTTCTTTAACATTATGGTAGTATCTTTTTTATTTGGTCCAATAAAGATTATTATTTTTTTATAGCTGTGTTATTAAAAGCAAAGATAGATCACGGTTCATATGAAGACATAAGACATAATTTAACATCCAATGTAATTTGTTTACGTTACACGAAAAAAACGATTACTTGCATTAAACTGAGAAATTTTATTGCAATCTTTAACATATCCGGATTATCGTTTCAACAGGTACATTTGACAAAGAAAGAAATATCGTAACTACTTAAAAATTAATTAATCTAAATCAATTTCCACAAACCAAAATACATTTGATTATACTCGAAACAGTCTCTTTTCAGTTATTCAATTTTCATAATGAAATATAAAAAGCAATATAAGGCATTTAAAGAGTCAAAAGCGTAGACATTACAGTCACAGTTTTCCGTCATAATTATTTTGGATTCGAGTTCGCATCATTTGACCGGTTGTAATACTTTTTAAAGTGGTCAAAATCACTTTTGACTCAGTTACAGTCTTTCAAAATTAAATTACTTGTGTCCAGTCCAGTGAATTATCATTGAAACTCTGTAAAGCAATAATTGTTCTCTGTAATTCTTTATTTAATTTGATATTATCAGAAATTTATTTAAAGAGGAGTTAGGTAGTTGTTTTGCATTACACAACAAGCAGCCTAAGCGAACAAAAATTTGGACTTTGATAAGTAGATTTATTACTCATGTACGAATAATTATTATTACGAACCTACGATAGCAAATTGCTCACAAATGTACATATGTTAGATTTATTATATATATATATATATATATATATATATATATCCTTTAAAATTAGTTGAATAATTATATAAGTCGCCTCGACGAACGTATATTTAGCTATTTATGACGTAATAGGCTTGCAAGAGTTTAAAAACATGAGATTACAGCGCTTTTTTTTTAAATGTAAACAATAGTTCCAATATTTGCGGGTAGGTAAACGATTCCGCGAGTGATTTGGACGGATGTACATAATTGCTCGTAGACATTTCTTTATCGCAAATGATTTTCATTTGTTTAGCAAACATATAATGATGTACAAGATCTGTTATATCAACATTATTATAAATGAAATGATTTGGCACAGATATTATCTATATTCTGCAACAGAATGATGATCAATGTAAATATGTCGGTAGTTCATATTAAAAATACGGAGTATTTTTGTTTTTTATATATCTTTATTTTTTTTTCATTCGTGTAAAATTAACTCTCGCTATTGGTGTTACACGGGCAATCTTTGTTGTCTATATTATTAACACCTAGATAGTCTCTCTACAAATGCCTAGACAATAAGATTTTGTGATTTCCTTCACACAAAAAAAACATCGTAATCAATTGTGGCAAAATAATTTATTTTGATTTAAAAACTAAACTACTTAACCGATTTTAATACAATTTTAATAGAACAAATCGAATGTGAATCAAAATGAGTCTGAATCAGATAAAAAAAATTCTCAAAACGGTTTATAGATGGTCAAGTATATGAGGTAGCATTTAAAAAAAAATATAGATGAAAACCACCTCTATTTTTAGGTAAAAAAAAAAAAACCAATGAATTGAATACCACCTCTATTTTTAGGTATATATTATGAAAATTGCCAATTTTAAAAATGCGCGCTTTAACATACTTTTCTAGCAACACTGAAACCTAAACATCCACCATGTAAAAATATATACTTCTGAATATTATGGTTTGAGCTGTTTTCGTATAGTCCTATTATAAAGAGTAGCAGTTTTATTGGCGATTCAAATTTGAGAGCCAACATAGAGAACGGCTACTACGAATAGACTCCACCTGTTTTGATATTTTATCTTTTTAATTTCCAATTATGTATAAATCACTTTCAGCGTGTACTTCTGACAATTATTGCACATTTACCATTGCGATATGTCCAAATGTCTGACCCAAATATACTAGATACTACTTGTAGCGCTGAGATAGTATAAAATATGGAGTTACGTATTAGGTACGTAAAAATAATAGAATCTATCTATGCTTTAGAATATTTAAGAATAGGAATAATGAGAACTAAAAAAAAAAAAAGTTGACCGCCGAGACTTTTTGTATTTTTCGACGTTTTTTGGTGAAAATATGTCGTTTCGCAAGTTTCAACGTTCCCTTAACAATTTCATAGATTAAAAATAATTTGAATTCACGCTACGTATTTTGTATAATAATTGAAAATTGTATGACATTAAAAATGTGCATTTGATTTCGTCAAATGTTTAACAAATCAATTGCCCGTGTAAATCTCAGCTGGGATTAAGTATAAATAAAAAAAATAATCTCTCCGTATTGTCTCTTTTAAATATATTGGATATTCAATTACACGATCTTGGGATTCCTCTATAATAAATTCCACGAATACCCTGATGTTATAGAGAATATAGACAATAAATATTTAAATACACATTGTAATACTGTATTTACAAAAATATTGTTTTATTTTATAAGTATGTTTCAACGATACCAGTGAGAAGTGCCTAGTATTGTTTTGGGTTTGTCTATGAAATATAGAAAATGTTCAATCTTAAGTCGCTAGATGTCGCTTTGTCGAAGTGGTCAGTGTATATTTATCTCCATAAATATATTAATGTAGAATTCTCCATATTAAAACTGGAAAATGAACGTAATTTGAAGATATTATTTAAATATATATTTTAATATTTTTTGGTCCTTCGAGCCGGATTGAGAGATAGAACATTGTATTTAATAGGATCTAGATACGGTACAGACGGTTCTAGGTAGATCTTTTAGTTAGAGGGTTATATAGGTTGTATAAATTGTCTTTTATAGCAACAGGTGCAGACTTGACCATGTTACATATGTTTGGTAAGTCAGTTTAGTTTTGGTAATGGTCTGGACATTTTTATGTATCGTAATTCTGTATGTGTTAATGTGTTTAAAAATGTAAGTATATACACTAGTTATATATATATATATATATATATATATATATATATATATATATATATATAGTTTTACGTAACTAACGTGGATATAAAATAAATCTATAAAGCGGTGATGTCCACGTACTATTCATGTTTATAGGCGATGTTTACTTTCTCGCTTTTACACTGCAACCCATGGCAATGCCTACAATTAGACATATTACAGTTCGTGTTATTATAATAAAGGAACTAATTACTGGTTTCGTTGAAACATTCTCGTAATTTTTGACACATGTTTGTACACTTTGATTTTGTTTAAGGGTCATTTATATCTCGTCTACGCGTTCTCCCAGTTAAAGGCCTGGGCACACGACGAACAGTCCTCGGTGTATATGAATAATGACAGAAAAGAAATAGGTATGATCGTTAGCCTTATTCTGACGTCTTTGCCCTTGATATAAATCAGTTAAGTAGGGCTTTTTTTTTCTTCAAAAATAATTAAAAAAAAAAACGTAAAAGAACGTTTACAGTTATGTACACTTGTGTAGGGCAGCAAAAGAACTGCGTACTTTCTATATAAAAAAAAAGTACGCCGAGCGCTGTTCCATGTCCGCTCAGGTCATTACATTCAGAGCTTATTCTATAATTTCAAACTCGCGTTTCACGGTTGTCGACTAGAAATATATCAACATCTTCGTATCTAAGGTCTTAATTGACACAGTTCGAATTAGTTTTGGGGACAGCATTCAGAAACGAGTGCCATGGGGATGCCATGTTTAAAGATGAAGTTTGCCACTTTCCATCAAGTGGACAGTGGATTGTTTGATATCATTCTTTATAATGTAAAGTCAAATTTAAAAGACAGTGATTGAAATTGTTAGTGTAGTAGAAGTAACGTATAATAGAGAATGACTTACGCGTGAAATCACTAATTAAATTAATCATTGAAACAATGTAGTAGAATATTTGATGCTAGATTTCGTAGCAATCGTCATGCCTGTATAGTACGAATCAAATCGACTGTTTAATATTATATTTTTTTTATATTTGTAATTTTCATTCTATGTTCTATCTTTATTTTATTACTACATTAATTTGAAACCCCAAAATAATCGAATTCACGAATTCACTGAACGATTTATTCACTTAAACATTCATTAAAGATGCAGATATATTTCTAGCAGTGACCGCACATCTAATTTAGTTACTAACATTACACGACGGATTCATAATAAGTAGTAGACACGTTTAATAAGACTAGTTGCGTGCCATTTTATACATTATTATATTATATAATTTAGGACGAATTTAGCCCGTACCGATGATTAGATAAAAATGGCAGACCGCCTAGAACGTATTAATTTAAAATAAAAATAGGAAAAAGAAATTTCGTTATTTAATATATTGACGATGATTATGCAACAATAAACAACCTAGTCGATGTGAAACAAATATCCATTCGGAAAAAGACACGAAATATAACTCGAGTATAATTCGCTATTCGGTAGTACTTAAAAATCGTTTACTATGGGTTCGATTCTGTGACGCCGTTTCTCTAAACCTAATTCTAAATTTAAAATTTCAATTTGATATCACAGCGACATCTTTATTCTAAGGATTAATAAGAACTAAATTTATAATAGATTTAAATTAAAATTATTATAAATTTAGTTTACAATAAATTTCGCGAAAATATCATAAATTAAAATAAAAAGTTAAGAAACAGGTATAGAAAAATGGCGGAATTGAGCCCAAATTTGTAGTACAAAATTATTATTATGATAAAAAATATTACGTAGGTATATTTATTTAATAACGTATTTACAAGTTTAAATTATCTGAACTGGCAAGTACTAAATATAATACTGTATATAAATTATATATTTTAATTAAACAATTAACCTAAACGTATTTACAGTACTTCCCTGATATACAATGACGACGAGGCTAAGAAATAAAGAACAACTTTCATAATGGAAATGCGAAATATATGAAATGTCTTAGAATTATAATTTAAACTAGAATCGACTAAAGGCCTTATAATTACTGAGGCCATTTGGACTTATCGGCCGCGCATTGACTAATCGCAACAAACTAATGATTTATTAAAACACGTCTAGGAGTGTTTATGCTTTCATTCCCTTTAAGACAAATTTCTGTTAGGTTTATCAGTATTATTAGAAAACTAGGGTTCCTTTTTATATTATTTTGCAGAATATTTTACTTTTTCGTCAGAATATAAAATATCTTCAATAAATACTTATATAGCATGAAGTATATATATTTACATAACTTCATGTTTATAAGTTTTTATATAGTGATTAGTTAGAGAGGATATTCTATAAGCTGAGTTATAGACTTTTTTTATCACCGTTTACGCCATTAATTTACTAGATACTCTCTAATAATTATTAGGGCACAGGCCGTTTAGTCCTTCGAGCCGGATGGGAGGACCAGTTTTCTTGTAACCCGGTATAGAAAGACACGTCAGTTTTAAACATGTGAATATATTAAGAATATAACAAATTTAAAAGTGCACCTATAGGAACCTGAATTAAAGAGAAAGAAGGCATCGTTATCGGAAAAATGAAAATTCAACAAATGCTTACTGTTACTCAGTCGTGTATTGTGAACAAAGATATAATATATGGATCACACTTTTGTGTATTGTCGTATTCTCGATTTGAGACTACCACTGATTCAGCAGTAGTGTTTTGAACGTCATATTCACAACTACATTTTTGATTTTTGATGATCATAAGAAATTTATAAACATAAAGTGACTATTTCATAATAATTAGACATAACGCTCTGTTTAACTTGTTTTTGAAACCTCACTATATAGTGTACATAAAATCGAAACCATCTAAATTGAGCCTCTATGTAAACGTACACTACAGAGTGCGGCTTCTAGTCTATTTACAATATCGAATTATTGCTTTGTATCTATACACATTTTAATATAAAACACTGTGGAAGTCATCGATCACTCGAATTTTGACACAAATCGTTCAAGAACAGCGGCCACCGATCGATAGGAGGCGCACGGACACCGAACTCCGTTAAAACTTGACACATCGCTATGACTTTTTGTCGAACAGCGGCAGCTTCGACTTGACGGCGCCCTCGCAGATCATGAGCCGCTGCTGCGCGAGACACTTGCGGCCGCAGCCGTCGTCCGTCACCAGCTCGAGGCGGCCGCCGCCCGCCGCGCCACCGCGGTGCTTTACGTCCACCGGGTACTCCTTCTCGCTCCTCTCGCCCTCCTTGCCCTTGCCGAACTGCAGCATCTCAACCTTGCTTCCGAGTGCGCTCATCTTGAACCGCGAGTGCCCCTTCGCGGTGCGCTCGCACGTGAAGTCGGCACCCTTCCGCTCGAAGTACTCGACGATCTTGGAGATCTGCGCGGAGCGCACGTGGCGCGGCACGCGGTCGTCGCAGTAGAGGCTGTCGGAGCCGGCGAGCGAGGCGACGTCCTCCGAGCTGTCGGTGTAGACGCTGGACGGACGCAGCGCGCGGCGCAGTGCGTCCGCGTCCACGGCGGCCGCGTCCGCCGCGCCGCACGCGCCTCGCCCCGCGCAGCAGCAGCGCCGCAGCACGTGGTACTCGCGGCCCTCGCCCTCGCCCGCCTCCGCCGCCAGTTTGCCGCACAGGAACGGCGACGCGGCCGCCTCCGGCTCGCGCCGCGCCGCGACGCCGTCGTCGCGCGGTGGCGTCTCCTCGAGGTCGTCGAGGCTGCGCAGCGAGCTCACAGTCGTGGTGGACAGTGCAGAGTCGTCGAGTACGAAAGGGCTCGAGGCAGCGGACGCGGCGGAGGCGGGCGGGCGCGGCGCACGGGGCGTGCGCGCGTTGAGCAGGCGGTCGTACAGCAGCAGGCAGTCGGCACACACTCGTACGCGCCCGCGCTCGCACTCCGAGTCCGCGTCCAGCGAGCGGCTCGGCTCGTCGAACTCGTCGTCGAGCGAGCGGTCCGACGCGGCGTCGCGCTGCCACCACCAGCACCGATTGCAGCCCATCAGCGAGCACGGGCACATCGCGCCGTAGAAACACTCGGCGCCCGGGTGCTGCGGGCAGAAGTCCTCGTTCGCGACCGAGAAGATGCCGCTCTCGCAGGAGCCGCGTCGACGCAGCTCGACGCTCGAGCCGCTGCGCTGGAGGCCGAAGCGGTCGCCGGGCTTCGCGGGCGGTGGTGGTGGCGGTGGCTCGGAGCGCTCGAGGCTGCCGCGGCGACTGAGGCCCGGCGACGAGGGCAGCGAGGCGCAGCGCGGCTCGTCGTCCGAGAGGCCGAGCTCGGGCTCGCGCAGGCGCACGAGCGGCGACGGCAGCTCGACGCAGGACGAGAAGCCGGCGGCGCGCGCGTTGGGGTGCGGGTGGGGGTGCGGCTCGAGGATCTTCTTGACGCCGCGGAACGTGTGCAGCGGGCGGCGCGCGGGGTGCGGCGCGGCGTGCGCGTCCCGCAGCAGCATGATGTGCGCGAGGCGGTGCAGGCGCGCCAGCCGCGGCGGCGGCGCCGCGCGCGACCCGCCCGCGCCGCCCAGCGCGCACGCCGACCGGTGCGCGCCCACGCCGCCCACGCCGCCCACGCCGCCCCCGCCCGCACTCGCACCGCCGGCGGCGCCGCTTGCGCCCGCCGATACCCACTCGAGCTCGGACAACGACCGCCGGTGTTGCACTACAACCGAATTGTAAGCTCTATCAAATAGGTTCGTCGTGTAATCGCCCTAGTATTACAAGATGTGCGCGGAATTCTTTACGAGTACGCAAACATACGAGTATGCGATGACTATTGTGTGAAAACATTAAGGTTCAAAAAGTAAAGCATAAAGTAAAATTTAACCAGACTGACGCCTTTTATAATACTGACATATTAATTATTCTTTATTTCGATAATTAATATCCAAAACGGTGAGGTCGCTCCGTGAGGCCTGTGAAGAACCCAGGAAGCTTCTGCGCTTCTGGGCGGAGCTAGGTTGGCTGTACTAGCCACAACTCACACGCACAACGGCCCAAATGAGAGGCTAAGCGCGGAAAACAGTCTTTCTCACATTCACATTCAATTAATATCCAATTCAAATAAATGTTCGGTCGCCGATCTTTCGCCGCCGTATCCTTAGCACTTACTATTTTTTTTAAAAAGGCCGTTATGTGTCTTAAAATTATTACTTATGATGATTAGAAGTGACTCACGTTGGTCGTGGTGTCCGGGCCGCGGGCTGCCGTCCGCCTTGTACCGCAGCGGGCGGCGCCACGCGTACAGTCCGGGGCACGAGCGCGGGCCCGACGAGTCCGCCTCCTCGCTGGTAAATGCACAAATAACTATATATAAGTGGTTAATCGATTAGAATTATTTTATTCAATTCCGGACATATGGCATACAGCTTTGGGGCTCAGCTAGTAACAGCAATATAGAAATACTGGAAACGTTCCAAAGTAAGACAATAAGAAACATGCCTAATATACCACAATATATAAGTAATAAATTTATGTATACGGACATCAAACTGAAAACGATAAAACAGGAAATCGAGACATTCAGCAAAAACTATCAGGCCAGATTGAACAGCCATAGAAATGAATTGGCCGCTCAATTACAAGGATCGGGAAGCATTAGTTTCTCTCGATTAAAAAGACACAGTATCCAAGGACTGGTAGAAAGATTTACAGACAGAGACTGAGAGCTGGTTAATGGATTGGCCTCATCATATAATAACAAGATTTAAACCTGACATCCAAACAGCAGATTGGATTATTGTTCTGTAAGGAACAGATTGCCAATTAGCAGACTAGAAAAAGAAAAAAAAATTCGCTATCATTAGTATGCGTGCGAATGCTAACATTGGAGGATTGACTATGAACTAATGATATGGACTTCTATGGTACCCTTCATATGTTCCTGATATATATCCCCGAGGACTATGGTGATACACCTTCGTACTCTATAATTTCATCGCCATATCCCAACCTTCATTCTTTGCCGTGTATTCCCGGCAAGGAATGGGTCGTCCCTTCTTTTCCCGTGAGTGTCATAAGAGGCGATAAAGGGGTACTTAATGGACACGGGACGGGCAGCAGCGTCACTTTTGAAACATTATCCAAACCTTCACTGCGGTGCCAACCCGCTTGTCAGACGTGGCAACTACTGGAAAAACCTCTTTATGGGGGATGCCTATGTTCAGCAGTGGATAGTTAACGGCTGATATGATGATGATATGATGATCCCATCCTTCAAACTGAACCAGCTATGGAAGCACAGCAGAAACAGGAGTTGGAGTTACTTAAACAGATTATTTTTTGCACAAAGTTTCCCGTTGGCAATTCGGTGGTCTCTTTAACATCTTCCTATTGATATTATAAATGCGAAAGCTTGTAACGATGTATGTATGTATATATGTATGTTATTCTTTTACACAAAACGTTCTGAACAAATTTCTATGAAATTGACATGAATAGATAAAAAATGGGTAACAATGGAATGGTAACTTCGCTTGCGCTATCGGGGATACGCTGGCGAGGCACCAGTGAGGGATGATAGGCGAGGATGAAAAGGCAGGTCAATTAGCCCATCGTGACAAATTCCACTAGAATTAACCACGATGGTTTCCAGGGGGCACCGCGTGAAGATCGACCTGATAGGGTGTATTGCTGGCAATGGGTCAATTAGACCCTATTACTAACAATCCCTTTTTTTTTGTTAACTTTTATTTTTGTTGTTTTGTGCGTAGCGCCTTTTATTTATATTGTTGCTACTTGTGAAAACCTATAAGTGGTATATTTTGTGATCCTAAACTATTTTCTCTAGTGTAGCCCTGGTTTTTCTATGAATAAATAAATAAAAATAAATAAATAAAATAAATCTTTTGGCATTATAACGGCTCGATTAATCATCATGAATTTTTTTTTTCATACAATTTAGAATGGCAAACAAGCTGACGGCCCACCTGATGAAAAGTGGTAACCGTCGCCTATAGACATGAGCAGTACCATGGACATAACAGAGTATACTGTTTCGCTCATAATACCCCCCATGCGTTGCCATTCCTGAGGACTCAGATGTTATTCCTCTGTACCCAGTAAATTCACGCCATATCCCACCCTTCAAACCGAAACACAGCCATGCAAACACAACTACTTTACGGTTGAAACACGAATGGGACAGAGGTACCCAAGCAATCGACTTTTGTACAAAGTCTCCTTCTATGAAATTTGACACTTATGTACTATTTCAGAGAATGTCATAGGCTCGTTTTTATTCGCGTCAAACGGACGACTTTGCGGATATGATCTAGTTAACAATATATTGTTTGGATTAAGCTCCGAATAGTACCTTTCGTAGGAGTTGTTTGGCGTGTGGCACCCCCAAGCGGCATCGTCGAGGCCTTCCTTGACCTCGGCCAGCTTGCTCACTATTTCCGGGAATAGTGGCCGCGCCTTGGGCTCGTACTGTGTAACATATGCAAGTACAAAAGTTATTCACTACAAAATTAGAATATCGATAGATACGTAGACAAGTAATTGAGTTAAGAGTCGGCATTATTTTAATATTAAAGATAACAGAAAATAAATCTATGTTACCACCTAAAAGTATTAATGCAATAAAACAAATATTTAGTACTATACAATTATTTATATCTTTGTCCATAATATTGATATTATATCTATCTATTTTATAGTATAAAATTATCAAATTCGATAACTGGGTCTACACCTAAGCTGGAGAGATTCTTCTTCAACTAACGATTTCAATTGTTTCACTTTAGTTCCAGCCATTGTTCAGTATATTAAAAACTTGAGAAAAATACGAAAATTGAAAAAAAAAAAACTTATTCATTTTTTAAATTCTTAATATTATCAGTTCATCAATGTAAAAGCAGTGCCTAATACTCTTGGCGCACTCGGAATACAGCAGTTGAATGGAATCGGTTCATCAATATAAGGGCAGTGGCGACTCTTAAATAACGTAACCTAACTACTCTGTGTACATGTAATAAAAACTATTGGTGCACTCCTAAGAACAAGGAATTACATAGAAGGAATGATAAAATATAAACTGTAAATCATATGGTTGCCTTCTTTCTTCTTATGCAAATTAATTAGTAAAAAGAGGACGAAAGATACACCCTCAGTTGCTATTTTTCTCAATTCATAGCAGGCTAGTGTATAGAAAACGTTTGATATGTAAATTAATTGTCAATGACAAATTTTATATTACTAAATTATACATTCGACACAGTTTATGTAGAAAGTATGTAAGCAGGTTGTATCTGAATTTGATAGGGTTATATGGCCACTAGCTAGCTGTGAATTGACAATTTTACCACTCTTTAGGTGCACTCACAATGCAGCAGTTGAAGGCGAGCCTGAGGAAGTCCGGCACGGTGGTCTCGTCGCAAAGCTCCACGAACGCCATGTAGTTGAGGCCGAAGTTGTCCGTGCGCGGCAGCACGTCCGGGTCGGCGTCCACCTATGAGTACACACACAAAACACGTAAACACAAAAAAAAAAAAACTATAATAATAATGTATTGTATGACTAAGGATATATATATACATATATAAATTTTTTATATTGTTAAAAATTTGTACGTCGACATAGAGGCAGAATGTACACGGAAAACATAAACTTCCATCATCTAAAATTACCTACATTCTAGCAAAATACATTCATTTCATTTCACGCAAATTAGTACATACAAGCGCAAGTTCGTATTACATAGTCCATGGATGCAACGGCGTACTTTGAAGCGAAAAATGACAAATTAGCAAAACATACAGGACCGACTTTAGTCCTTTTTTGACGGTGTCCCGACTGTGATTCGAGAGTAGCCGAGTAATCTAAGCGTGCTAACATTAGACTTATTTACTGATTATGTTTATTTATGCAATATAGAATGGAAAACAATCTGACGGCCCACCTGATGGAAAGTGGTAATCGTCGCCTATACACACGAGCAGTATCATGGACATAACAGAGTATACTGTTTCGCCCACGATACCCCTTAGCGTTGTCATTCCTGAGGACTCAGGTGTTATTCGTGTGGACCCTGTAAATTCACTGCCATATCTCACCCTTTAAACCGAAAAAAAAAACAGCTATGCAAACACAACTGCTTCACGGTTGAAACATGAATGGGACAGAGGTAGCCAAGGTAACTACTTTTGGTATAACGCCTCTGAAGAACTTTTCAATATGATGCATACAGCCACCTTACACCATTGCACCGCCATCGACAGGGAATCTATCCTTACACCTTTGAAACAAAATGGTCAGGCACAGTGCGGTCTCAGAAGAGTTTCCTCCCATGAACACTCGGGTTGTGGAATGATTTTCTTGCCGAGGCTTTACCTAGAATCTACAACATGGTGTTCTTCAAAAAGAACGTATTATGGTTTGTTAAGGGTCCGCAACGCGCGCGGAATATCCCTCACGTTACAGACGTCCATAGACTACTAACCTCGTTCACCATCAGGCGGACCGTATGCTTGTTTGCTACCAAAGTAGTAAAAAAAAAAGATAAGATGTAAATCTGTCAGTCAGTGATTGCACTTACCCTGGCGATGAGTTGGCACAGTATGATCCCGTAGGAGAATATGTCTGAGCGGTGGTCGTACCATCGTCCCCGGAGGCATTCCGGCGACATCCACCACGGCGAGCCCACGCTTGGTAGGCGGTAGCCGTTACTGTACAAACAAACGTCATGATCAACCTACAAATTTCACTAATATTACAAATTAGCTGACCCGGCACATTTACCGGGTCCATTTTCGCTTCTTCATCATATCAGCCTTTAACTGTCTACTGCTGAACATAAGCCTCCCCCTGGGGGGCGGGGGCTATGCCAGTAGTTGTCACGCTTGGCAGGCAGATTGGCAACCGCAGTTAGGCTTTGGAAATGTTTTAAGACGCTGCTGCCCGTTCCGTGTTCTACCGTACGACACTCGCCCTTTCTAAGTTGCCTTTTACGACATCCACGAGAAAGGAAATGGGGGGGGGGGGGGCATTCTATACCGGGGCGCACACACGACCAATTTATTATATTTTACTTAAATACATGGGGCGATTCTCGTAAACCTAGTTCAGACACAGATGTTTATGAACTGATCCAAATGTACAAATGACATCGTACCCACCTTTACTGTAATTTCCAGTGCTGAGTTTGTTATAATCATGGTTATGCAATAATGTTATTATTATTATCATCTGAAAAACCAGTTTTTTTTTCCTCGTCCTAACATACTACTAATTTAGTTGTAATGAATCTCTCGTATTTTCTTTGTAACTATATATAAATATAAGTTGATTTACTTACACGGGGTGAGGTATTTTAGCTGCCAAACCGAAATCAGCCACGACAGCTGTATAGTTATCTTCACTATGTTTTCTTAACAATACGTTCTGAAAAAAAAAGTACATAAAAGTCAATTACATTTTAAGACCATGGTGAAGACGGTACTTCTATTGTATGAATGACGACGTGGTAATTATTAAGAACTCGATTCTTGTGGTGAAAATCGTATCAGTTTAGAAAATCAGCCGTTTCAACCGTTCGTTATTGGGGGGAAAAGGGATTGTTAGTAATGGAGACTGAGAATTCCATTGCTAGCAATATGTCCAACCAGGTCGACCTCCTCACGGTTTCCCCTGGAAACTATCATGATTAATTCCTGATGAATTCATCATGATGGGCTAACTGGCCTGTTTTCATTCTCATCTATCACCCTTCACTAATGCTCCGCCAGCGTATTCCGTTAGCGCAGGCGGGGTTACCACTCCATTTTCATCCAATAAAAAAAAAACCGTTCGTCATTAAATATAACATACGGAGATAATACTATGGTACTCAGAAATGACAACGCATGAAGCGTCTAAGACGTCACATTCCATGGTAATTTTTATTTTATATAGTAAACGGTTACCATTACTGATCGGGTGGAAAAAAAATTTCAGAGACATGAAGACAGAATGGCAAACAAACTGACGGCCCACCTGATGGAAAGTGATAACCGTCGCCTATAGACTTGAGCAGTACCATGGACATAACAGAGTATACTGTTTCGTCCATGATACCCCCCATGCGTTGCCATTTCTGAAGACTCAGGTGTTATTCCTCTGTACCCAGGAAATTCACGCCATATCCCACCCTTCAAACCGAAACACAGCCATACAAACACAACTGCTTCACGGTAAATACACGAATGGGACAGAGGTACCCAAGCAATCGACTTTTGTACAAAGTCTCCCTCTGGTAAAGCAAACGAAACAAGACAAACAAACAGACACAACCGTCTTCAAACAAACAAACGTCTTCTGTACTTCTGTTCTATTTGTGTATCTGCCGCGAAGCAGTTGTATTTTCATGGTTGTATATCGGTTTGAAGGGATATGACAATAGAGTTAAAGGGTACATAGGCTAATTCATGTCGCCCATGTTACATTCTATTATGTCCATGGTACTGTTAATATCTATAGGCAACGGTTATAATTTCCAAAGATGGGCTGTTAGTTAATTTTGCATTAAAGTATAACAACAAATCTAAGGATGCTCAAAGTATTTCTTTAGTAAATGCTGAACTGTCTCTGTACCTTAGCAGTAAGGTCTCTATGGAAGACTCCAAGCGAGTGCAGGTACTTCATGCCGGCGGCGACGTCCGCCGCCAGCGAGATCCGCAGCGACTGGGGCAGGGGCTCTGGCGGGCGGCCCAGTATCACCTGCTCCAGGGAACCGCCCTCCATGTACTCCGTGAGCGCGTGCAGTTGACCCTCGTGCACGCATACGCCCATGAATCTGAAACATGCAAATTTGGACTCAAGTTATGATGTGTGAAAGTTGAAAGAAATTTTGTTTTTTTTTTTGGACCGTCAATCCGACTTTGAGACTTTGCCTCCCTTTGTATGTTCTACCGCTTATATAACGGATTATGTTCTGAGAAATTATTTGAAATGATGTCCACAGCTACCTTTTATCATCGCACCGCTCGTCATCGACAGGGAATTCATCCTCATACTTGAACCTAAATAGTCACGTACAGTGCGGTTTTAAAGAAATTTTCTGTCGCGAACGCCAAGACTGTGGAATAAGCTTTCTGCCGATGTTTTCTCTAGAGACTATACGCATATGGGATTCTTCAAAAAGGGTATATTAAGATTTCTTCAAGGTTGGCAACATGGACGCGAGTGTGCCTAGTGTTGCAAACGCCCACAGGCTACAACAGTGACCGTTTACCATCAAACGAGCTGTTTGTTTTAAAATTTTGTGGTATAAAAAAAATCCGATTGTATTTCAATGTTGCGATTTTACTTTTTAAACGTTTATATTAATTAATAGCAAGTTAATTATGTAACGCAAATGTTATACTGTCAGTTATGCATAAAAGACAAATGGTATAGAGAAAGCGCATAATTATCATTACTCTATAAAAAACTGCTTAGTCAATGAAAAAGTGAAAATATAACGTCACTCAGAAGAGGCTAATGTATTGTAGTTTAGGTATGTTATGCATCAATTGATGATTTATTAAAATACATAACACAGTATTGCGTTCATCACAGCTGGCTATAATTTATTTGAATAGAAATTGATAAAAAGGTAAATAAGTTTCCTTTACATTATCACAAAAATACTGTCTAAATGAAATTAGTAACAAATCAATATATTTAATCATTAATCGTCCTGTGTGTGTCCTGGCATAGAATAGGCCACCCCTTTCATTCTCGTGGGTGTGAGCATGTGAGCGTCTCTCTTAAAACATCTCCAAAGCCTAACTGCGGTTGCCAATCCGCCTGTCAAGCGTGGCAACTACTGGTAAAAGCCCCCTAGGGAGTGGCTTATGTTCAGCAGTGGACAGCTAAAAGTTGACGCTGATGCTGAGCTATGATGATGAATCAATTAATCGATTTATGGTCGAGTCAATTATTCATTTATTTTTAAATACTACTAAAACCTTATAAACTAAAGAGAGACTGTACAAAAGTCGATTGCTTGGATATCTGTGTCCTCATTCATATTTCTAGCGTGAAGCACTTGTTTGCATGGCTGTGTTTCGGTTTGAAGGGTGGGATAAAGCAATGAAATTACAGAGGATACAAGTATAAGCGTAACACTTTAGTCCTTAGGAATGCAACGCGTAAAGGGTATCGAGGGTGAGACAATATACATTTTAAAGTCCATAGGCGACGGTTACCAATTTCCATCAGATGGACAGTTAGCTTGTATAGAAATATATTATAAAATATATATATTAAGGTTTATTTATTTTTTTATTTATAAAAGACACACCAACAATATGCTCACAATAATTAAGCAGACAATATACAATGTTATTAGTAAGTAAAAGAGAAAAACTACTATTAAAAAATGCCTAAATCTAAGTTTGAACAAAAAATCTTACTCCTCACTACCAAGCTAAAGGCCATATGAACACATCAATTAAAGGTGTTTATAGCTCTCACAGATAAGCGTCAATGTACACTAACTAGTTTATTGGGAACTAAATATTAAGTTTTGCCTTAACTTTTACTAATAGGTATCATTTTATATACACATGGACAAAGTCGTGGGTAAAAACTAGTTCTACGACATTTTTTACACTTATCAGAATGTGTAAAAATATTTTTTAACCGCAACGTCGACCGTTTAGGGTATTTACGAAGGTCTTAAAAACCCTGTAAATATTTACATGTCGCGTACATGTTAAAGATCAGTGCAATATTTATTTTCCCCGAAATGAATCACTTGATATTTTCGCAGGATTCTTTATTCGTGACGCACATAAATCGCCGAGATAAGTAATATTTATGTCTGCTCGATGACGGTCGGATAGAGAATCCCGGCTGCCTAATACGATCGTGATTTTTGCCCGATTAATCGAGTGAATTTTCATCACAACGGGAACAGTCGATAAATGCCTCCACCTTATTGGACCAGTTTATTTGAAGTGTAAATTTTTCGTCAACTTTCTTTTTTGACTGTAATTTATTTTTTACTAGCGGCCCGTCCCGGCGTCGCACGGGTGGACATTTTTAACATTTCCCTTCACTGCTCTGCTCCTATCGGTCGTAGCGTGATGAAAAGTGTACTATAACCTGCCCAGGAGTATGAAGAATAATTGTACCAAGTTTCGTTAAAATCCGTCGAGTAGTTTTTGTTTCTATAACGAATATACAGACAGACAGACAGACAAAAATTTTACTGATTGCATTTTTGGCATCAGTATCGATCACTAATCACCCCCTGATAGTTATTTTGGAAATATATTTCATGTACAGAATTGACTCTCTACAGACTTATTATAAGTATAGATTATATTACATTTCATTATATTATTATGTTATTCATTCATTAGCGTTGCTAAACATAGGCTTCCCTCTATTGGGGGATACTGCCAGTAGTCGCCTTAGTTGGCAGGTGGGTTGGCAACCGCAGTTAGGCTTTGGTGATGTTTAAAGAGGGATCCCTTCCATCCCGTCCCTAGACCATTAAGTTCCCTTAGGCGCCTCATACGACACCCACGGGAAAGGAAACGGTGACTCATTCAATGCCGATACCACAGGGAGATGTTAAGTTATAATTCTATATGAACGCCAAAAAGAAAATCTACTAGAAGGAGACTTTGTTGAAAATCGTCTGCGTGGGTTACTATGTTACATTCGAATTTCTGCCGTGAAGTACCTATACTTGCATGGCTGCGTTTCGGTTTGGAAGGGTGGGATCGTCATCAGCACATCGGCCCTTAACTGGCCACGGCTGAACATAAGCCTCCCTCTTGGGGAGGTTTGCTAGTAGTTGCCACGCTTAGCAGACGGATTGGCAATCGCAGTTAGGCTTTGGAGATGTTTTAAGAGGGACGCTGCTGCCCATCGCTCGCTCTCCCCTAGTTGCCTCTTACGACATCTACGGGAAAGGAATGGGTAGTCTATTCTATGCCGGGACCATACGGCGATATGGCAGTGAATTTTACAGAAAAAATACAGAACTCTGTCCTCGGGAATGGCAATATATGTGAAAAGCATCATTGGCATCTTAAGTGCAGTAACTGCTGTTCATGTCTATAGGCGACGGTTACCATTTTCTATTAGATGGACCTCTAGCTTGCTAGTCAGACAGTCTGTTTCATAAAAAAAAAAAAACTTTTAAAAATATTATAATAACATATGAATGAATCACAAACTGATCATTATTTGACCGGAGACATCCATCTTTGGATATATGAAGTATCAAAGGTTAGTTAAAAATAAACCCTCCATTGTTCAGTTAACTTCAGTGAGTGAGTGGAGACGCGACATATGATCCATTGACGTCAATGCTTATAAATGAGATGAAAACAAAATATGTCTTGAGACGAGTACGAGACATGATGGGAATAAGATTATATATAGGATGAAGTCGATATCGTTAGCTTACCGTTAACGATTTTAACTAACTACGAATATAAGAATGTATCCATGCTATAGAACAAGTTTCAGGAAAATAAAAACGTTAAAACTTCAAAAAACTTTGTTTTTCTCAAATACTAATTTTCTACACACACGTACTACCTCTGGTATTGCAGGTGTTCATAGGCTACGGTAACCACTTACCATCAGGTGGGCCGTATGATTGTTTGCCACCTCAGTGGTATAAAAAAAATAGTTGCCACGCTTGCCAAATAAGATGGCAACCACAGTTAGGCTTTGCCCCCCTTTAGTCGCCTCTTACGACACCCACGAAAAAGGAAGGGGTCGCCTATCTCATGCCGGGACCACACAGCTAGAATAGGCTACCCCTTCTAGATTTATATATATATATATATATATATTATTGTAAATAGTTTAATATATAAATCCGATTAAACTATTTACAATAAATAAATATAGAAGAAGATACAAAAAAAAGATTAGGGCTTTTTATTCGTTATTTTTTTAAATATTACGACACATGACCTACCCTCATAGAGCGCACAAGGACTATGAATTCGATCAACTGATACTTGAATGCTTTTCAATCGACTTCCAAGAAAGGAGGAGGTTCCCCATTAGGCGATATTTCTATTTATTTATTTAAATTGTGATGCATAGGTAACAATGGATGGTAAAACAAGATAAGTCCTGTATGATCAACCCCATATATCGAGGTATACAAAATTGCAATTATATAAGAAAAAACAAAATATATAAAAAAAATCAACAATGTCACTTTTATAGTAAAAAATTATAATATTATGGAAATTTATTACATTTAACTTCAAGGATTTTTATTTGTTACTTCATAATTCTGTCAGTTATGTTTATTTATAACTGATTTTGAAAATTCTTTTTTTATCTGAAAGGATACACTTTCAGATTGACGTTTTACAAAATTTAATTAGATTTAGCAGTTTAGTTTTTAAATCAAAATACCTGATTTTGCCATAACTGAAGTTGTTTTTTTTCTGTGGAGCAAACGTATAGTGCATTAAAACTACTTAGTACACGCTACGTTTGAAGGATCCGAAGTTACTGGATGAAGGATATATGAAGATTGAATAGTCCAGAAGCCAGCACGTGACATAAATCAGGCCTGGTGAACGCACGTAAATCGTATGCCACCTCCGCTTGTGAATTGTTATACAACTTCCTTCATCTTCACATCCGCGGTTTCGCTCCGTCGCTCGCCTTTGTGTTTTGTTCCCATCAACGTCTTTATATGCTCTTCCTATCGTTTTACGTAATTATTGTATTACGAAATCGCATAATGCAATGCAACAATGAATCCTTGTCCTGTCCTTATCTCCCTTTTGTTATTTAGAATACAATTGTGCATGTTTTTATGAATATGTGATCTAGTTATATGTTACTAGCTGTATCCCGCGGTTTCACCTGCGTGAATTAGTAACGTACATGAAGTATCTTCCTATGTGCTAAGTTAGGATATAACCTATCTTTGCATGCAATTTTATTCAATTCCATTCAGTAATTTTTGCATGAAAGAGTAACAAACATTTTTTTTTTGATGGGTGAAAATGGTGTGGTAACCCCGCCTGCGCTAACGGGATTCGCTGGCGGAGCACCAGTGAAGGGTGATAGATGAGAATGAAAACGGGCCAGTTAGCCCATTATGATGAATTCGTCAGGAATTAACCATGATAGTTTCCAGGGAGAACCGCGAGGAGGTTACCTGGTTGGGTATATTGCTAGCAATGGGATTCTCAGTCTCCATTACTAACAACCCCTTTCCCCCCAGTAACAAACATTTATCCATCTATCCATACACGCAAATTTTTGCATTTATAATATAAATAGGTTTGTTATTTTAAACTGAAAAGAAGAATAATCATTTCATCCAACCAGGGTTGCCAGTTTCGATTTTTGTTTTGATATTTGAAATCCCGTTAGCGGTGTGGTCCTCGCATAGAACAGCACACTCCTTGCTTTCCCGTGGGTGTCGAAAGAGGCGACTAAGGAAGGGCGAGGGATGGGCAGGAGCATCCCTCTTAAACCACCTGCTAGGCCTAACTGCGGTTGCCAATCCGCCTGCCAAGCGTGGCAACTACTGGCAAATTCCTCAAGGGGAAGGCTTATGTTCAGCGGTGGACAGTTAACGGCTGATATGATAATGATTTGTAAATACCGCTTAGAAATTTTTGATATTGGTAAAAAAGCAATATTCTTACACGTAGTAGTATGTAATATCAAAGTTTAAGTTAATTAACAAATGTAATTCAATAACGTTTAAATAGCTGAACGGATTAAAATGAAATTCGTTACACAGATTAATAATATTTGACAATTGACACTTTTTATCAGGCGAGCCGTTTGTCATTGCCAGTGGTATAAAAAAACATTGATAATGAATTAAGTTTTTTTTTTCTTTTATTAATTTATTCATGAAGTACAAGATACAATGTTATGTTACAAACGGAACAAATCATTTGTCTTACTGCTTTAACGTGTACCACTGTCATCGTCATTTATATAAGTAAAACATACACACACGCTCCTACGGCCGCACGCACGCACGCACGCAGGCACGCACACGCACACGCACACACACACACACACACACACACACACACACACACACACACACACACACACACACACACACACACACACGCACGCACGCACGCACGCACGCATGCACGCACGCTCGCAAGTACGCACTCACACTCATATATACCTACATATATATACACATAAGTAAATTTTTCATGTGCATTGTGTGTGTGTGGGTATATGTTGTTGATTATTGTATTATCTTTGTAATTAAGTCTTAATAACCTGATGCACGCGAAGCCATTATCTTACATTAATTACACAATGATAAACCTTGGAATTTGTCTTTAGATGATCATTTTTAAATACATTAAACACGGCAATGTCGACGACAAAAATATAGATGCATTCGACTATAATCTCTAAAAGGGTAGTTAGAGGCATTTGTCGACTGTTCCCGTTGTGATCAAAATAAGACTCAACATCCTGCATTTCCCAGAGCATACGAGGTGTGATAAAAAAATGATGAATAATTCTATTTTGAAAAAGTAATAAGCTTATATCAGTTTTAAATTAATCCCCTTCAAAATATTCTCCTTGGCTAGCAATGCACTTACTATGATTGGAAGCATTCCTTCCAGGAAGCCTTCAGTTGCTTGGTCGTCACAACAATTTTTTTTATAAAACACGGGGCAAACGAGGTTGCGGCTCATCTGATGGTAAGTAACTACCGCCGTCCATGAACATCAGAGCAATTGAAAGCGTGTTGCAGGCCTTTTAAAAAGGAAAATGCTCTTTTATTGAAGGTTACGATGTTGTATCGGTTCTATAAACCTCTGGGATCGCGTCAAAACGTTTTGCATTCATTACGTATATTATTTTTGGGTAGAGCTAGAAGTCGCACAATGCAAAATCCGAAGAATAAGGCGGATGTGGGCAGACAGTAACTTTTTATTATGTCATTTTCTTTGTGAATAATCGAGAATCAAAAACGAACTGTGACGTGTTTTTTTTAATAATGAATGACAATGGAATGGTAATACCGCTTGCGCTATCGGTATACGTTGGGGGAGCTTCAGCAAGGGATGACGGGTGAGAATGAAAAGGTAGGTCAGTTAGTCTATCGTGATGAATACACCTGGAATTCAACACGAAAGTTTCCAGGGGTACCACATTGTTTTCTGTGTCGGAGTAGGTTATCACTGGACTATGACATTAAATCGATGATAAATAACTACTAACTACTTTGGAATAATTAATTAAAACTCATAAATTGACAACTTTATTCTGGCTCCGAGTTATTTGTGTAAACTTTAAATATGCGAATAAACACTGTAGTTTTATTTCTGCAAACTATATGTTAATACACTGTTTATTCCCATGTTGATCTCATGTTAATTTAATTATAATAGATATCATTGTTTTTCTTCTGATTATTGGATAATTTAGTTGTGGACACACGGTTTTGCGTTCTAAATTCAAACAATATTTTCTTTTTTCAAATATTCCAATTATCAACTTTAAAAAGAAGGAAGTTTTTGATTACTGTTGGGTTTTTTTATATATTTGTTACCTCAAAAATTCGTTGAAAGGATATACTTACAGATTAGTCTCATAGAAATTTTATCAGAATCGGTTCAGTAGTTTAGTTTTTAAATTAAAGCAATTCATTTTGGCACGACTGAAGTCAGTGTTTTTGTGGAACACAATCGTAATTATAAATTTAGTATTTTTGAAAATTTATGTTGTCTGTCGATGTGATTCATTCTTATTTTAAAATGTACTCATTTTAAAAATAAAATAAGAATAAATCTTATATATATATATATATATATATATATATATATATATATAAAGTACAAACAATAAAATAAGTGAGATTAATAGTTTTGTTTATAATTTGGATTTAAATGTATCTGTTTCATATTTTATTTTACGTCGTTACATTTTTACAAACGATAAATAATTACTAATATTATGGCGACCTTGTTATTTTACTTTAGAAAGGATTCGTCCGCAAATGCGCTCTAACATTAATTCTCAGATTATATATTAATTATGATACATCATCAAATATACATCGAAATTTAATTTACAAACATTAGTAGCTATTGCACAACTCAATAAATTATACATCTTTATTTTTTCTTCCGTATGTTACCGATATTAGATACATGAGACAAGAGTCTTTGAAATACTAATTTATTAACTAAATAACAATCCTACATGATTAAAACACTGGATCAGATGATTTAGTCTTTAACTCAACTATAACTTTATATTTCACAATCACTACGATAAGCACAAGTGCTCATTTTCTTTGAAGTATATTGGGATAAAAAAAAGTATTATTTATATTACAGTGTAGTAGTTATTTAAGTGTAATATTATTATTATGGCCTTAGATATATGCAGCTACGTCTAGTTGCAAACCAACAAATCATAATCTTCTTCCAATTGTCTAGAGTAATATTTCTTATATGTTATATCAAATGTATTTATTTCTGTATTGGAAATATATACTAGTAAATTTTTGAAATGCGAAGAGATATCTTAATTTGTTATAAAAAAAAAAAATTGTGCAACGAAACCGTTGAACAATCCGTATGCAATATAATTTCCTTCTCCTTTCTTTCTTACTAATAGAACTAGTTATTCTACTAGTAGAACAAAACGGATATAATAAGTTTTGGAATATATAACATGCAATTGCTGCACAAAAAACTTAGCAAATTTGTGATAAAATAATGATTTGTTTCCCTCCTTGTTTTTATTTTGAAAGGAATTAAAATAATAGATAGTGAACTAGATGTTAGATAGACGCAACAGATTTAAAATTTTGAATTTAGAACACCGAAGCAGCAGTATTTACAAGCAGATTTTTATCCGCAAAGAAAAATGGCGACGTCAATATTATAAAACAAAAAAGAAGTAGAAGGCTACGGAAGTAGAAGATATGGAAACTTACCCTAGGATGTTGGGGTGTTTGAGCTTGTTCATGAGCTGCACCTCCCGGAGCATGTTGGGCCGGTTCGCCCGTTGCTGGTTCATTTTTAGGACCATCACCTTGTCTGAAGTCTTGTGTGTCACCTGAAAAAAAAAAAGAACATACAATAAAATAAAAAAAAAACTCAGGTATATTTATAGGTATGTTTATTAAACGAGAGTTTTTTTTTCTTAATGGTCGAGGGATTAGTAGCAGCGTCTCTGGCATACTCCCCCAATAGAGGGAGGTCAATTCATACATACATACATATCTGTCACGCCTGTCTCCCATTAGGGTAGGCAGAAACAATGAAACGCCAAATGCTTCGATTCAAACAAACCTCTTTCGCTTCTTCCACATTCATCAATCTTTTTATATCCTGCGCTATCGGTATACGCTGACGGGGCACCAGTGAGGGCTAATAGGTGAGGATGAAAGGCAGTTCAGTTAGCTTGACGTGACGAATTCCATTAGAATTAAATACGATGGTTTCCAGAGGAAACCGCGTGGAGGTCGACCTGATAGGGCGTATTGATAGCAATGGGTCAAATAGACCCCATTTTTAACAATACCTTTCCCCCTACCAAGGCATGGTTATGTTGTATTTTAGGCATCGACCTGACGAAATGCTTCATCACAGATGCATGGACATACTGAGCTATCATTTTAAGGATGGTGTTGTCACTCCCCCGCATTCTTTTCACTATAAACGCGACTTTCTTACGAAGCATACGATAGCATGGAAACCGTCAATTCCATATTTATTTTCATATTGAAGAATTAAAAGGTAACCTAGTTTTGCTGGAATTATTACAGAAACTCTTTTTAATTGAAATTAATGACGAATCGCAACATGGATACAATTAATCTATTTTTTACTATATATATAAAAATTTATAAAAATTTAATTTAAAATCTTTGATTTAAAATAATAAATAAATAAGTGCCTTACAATACAAATCGCTTGATCCTCAAATTAGAATACCTTGTCTTATGAGAAACCGAGCAACAAATATCTAAAATACGAATATATATATATATATATATATATATATATATATATTAGATATCAGCAGGCTATCTTATTGTTGGTTTAATTTGTTTACATTTTCACATTATTTAGCTAAAAACAGTTTGTAGAGTGACAACCTAATGTGGTTAGGATTTGGCAAATGTCACTCATCACGACTTATGAGTAAAATTCAGTAATCAAGCGACCACGAAAGAGGTTTACAGTTTGTTTTTTTTTTGTAGAGTTTCGCTATTCATGGTCAGTTCTTAAACGATTTTGAAAATTCTTACTGTAATCGAATGAATTTATATTTGTATTAGCTCCACATTAGTTTTGTAATGGTTGAACTGTTTTTCTTTACGGAACTAAAATTTACTGGCACATATTTTCAATAATGTGTCTATGAATAATTTCTATTGGTATATTTTGTCATTATTGACTTCGCTATTTTTTTTAGAAACAGAAAATTCATTTCAGAATATCATTAAATAAATTGTAACTTTCACAGAATAGTGCAACATTCCTTTAGATTTTTTTTTATTACCGATAGTTTAGATAATGGCAGATGTTTTTATCTCATTCTGTTTCAAGTGTATGATAGTGAAAACGTATCTACCGATTTGTTTACCACTATAATTGATCAAATCTATATTTTATTTATGAAACACTCATATATGCTCATTACGTTATAATTTTTTTTATTCTATTTATTATTACAATTTGTATTTGAATGTCATAGTAGGTATAATAAAATACATACAGTACATGAATTTTTTTTTTATACAACGTAGAATGACAAACAAGCTGACGGCCCACCTGATGAAAAGTGGTAACCGTCACCTATAGCCATGAGCAATAGCATGGACATAACAGAGTATACTCTTATGTGCCCATGATACCCCCCATGTGTTGCCATTCCTAAGGACTCAGGTGTTATTCCTCTGTAGCCTATAAATTCACGCCATATGCCACTCTACAAACCGAAACACAAAAATTAAGCATAAAAACAAAAATTAAAGTAAATTTAAAGTCATCTCTTAACACAAATAACATATATATTTAAATTTATAATAGTAAGAATTCGTCAAATGAGTATAGACACCTCTCTAGCAATAATGATTTCAATTTTTTCCCAAAGATATTTAAATCATTCAATGACTTTAATTTAATAGTATCAGCAGAGACAACAGCGTGGGTGGTATGTAACCGCAAAGTATGTGTATATGTGTCCCGTCTTCATGATGAGAATTAATTAGATTCCCTTGACGTCATTAACCCGTCGTGTTTTAATAGACACCCGTCTGGATTAGTTAAGTGTATTTAAGCTTAACTTCAGTGCAATAAAAGGATCTTTAAGTCAAAATAATGGACATTAAGTGAAAATCAAATTGGATGAGGCAATTAGGGGAGTGTAATAAGAGTGCAATAAATACTCCATTGTATTATCATTTTGTATAATGATAAATGTAAAGTTTTACTTATTGTAATTTATTATGACAAATAATATTAGAATATATGGTATTTAGAAACGTGCCCTATTTAGTATTATAATTATTTATATATAATTATAAATAAAATTATTATATTTTGCAAAATTATGTAACATGTACAAAAAAGAATTTAAAACAACAATAAAAACCAGTTATTTTGATCTACGAGTAAAAACTAAACTATTAAATCGATTTTCATAAAATTCCTATGGGACCAATGAATATATATTTCCTTTTTCGGTTCAGAAGTAATGGAGTTAAAAAATAAAAAAAAGTATTGTTTGTTGCGTTTTTACTGTTAAACTATATTTAACGGTTTTATTTGGATAAAATTAGAGAGAATTGACGAAGTCAAATGCTCCATATGTAACGTCAGTCTTCCTCATCCTTGCATTAAAAAAAAGACTACAAATTCAATCCTATTATAATTTAAATCAACACGAGAATTCATGGCCAAAATACAAAATAAAATAACAAATAATATAAAAAAAAAAATACAAACCGATATTTTTTCTTTTAAAGTCATACATATGTATCTCTAGGAATATAGATGACAATTGTATATATAGCTGTTATTTTTTTACACAACTTAGAATGGCAAACAAGTTGACGGCCCACCTGATGGAAAGTGGTAACCGTCGTCTATAGACATGAGTAGTACCAGGGACATAACATATACTGTTTCGCCCATGATACCCCCATGCGTTGCCATTCCTGAGGACTCAGGTGTTATTCCTCTGTACCATGTAAATTCACTACCATATCCCACCCTTCAAATCGAAACACAGTTATGCAAACACAAATGCTTCAAGGTAGAAACACGAATGGTACAGAGGTACCAAAGCAAACGACTTTTATACAAAGTCTCCCTCTGATCTCTTAACAGCTATATTTCTATATAGCTGTTAAACAAATTAAATTAGTATAACAAAGCAGTGTATTAGGAACTCAATAGATCGTAAAGATATTAAGAGTTCATAATTTGGAGACCGCTACATGCAATTTTCTATGTAGTTAGCTTGTAAACAATGTGAGTATTTATGAAGATCTACGTGTAAGTAGGCCGAGACGTGTTCCAGACTAGATCGGATTTCTAGATTTCTAGACAACCGTTTCGAGTGCCGGTGGCTATGTTTTGATTTGCTCTCTTTATTATGTTTCTATATCTTAGCAATCTTTTAAACGTCCGGGCATATTTCTTTTTTTAATACATTATAATGGAATGATTACCCAGCCTGCGCTATCGGTATACACTGGCGGGGTACCATCGTGACGAATTCGACGAATTTATCATGAAGGATTCCAGGGGGACATGCTGGAACTACAATAGTTATATTCCATGGCTCCGCTAGCGTGGCTCAATGCAAAAAGTATTCTATGTGCTAAGGGACTATATAACCTATTCGTATACTACATTACATTCAAATTCGTCTCGTAGTTTTTGCGTGAAGAAGTACCAAACACCCATGCATCCATCGTTACAAGCATTCGCGTTTATTATATCAATAGGACGACTATGGTTCTGTTCATGTCTATATCCGACAATAACCATAAAGTGGATGTTTAGCTTGTTTTACATTGCAAATAGCGTAGATAAACCTACTTTTGGAAGTCGCTTAAAAAATTAAAAAAAAAAAATACACAAGTCAGTGATTCATGAATGACGAGATAAACACATAATCATCTCCACTACTAGATTACGTATTCTGAATACGAGTACACGACGCACGTTCGTTCGAGGCTGATATAAAATTCAAGCTAATAAATATGCGAGGCGCGATTAGTTTTACATAATATGGTCAACGTATTAGTTTTGCAAATAAACAACGCTTCGAGAAATTAGTTGTCGAATGATTATAAGTATTGGAGCGTCATCTCTAATGTTTCGCATATAGACAGGCATCAATGGACACTAGGGTGATACAATTAAGTAATATCGGGAATATATATTCTTATATTAAGCAGGGATATATATTTACATTATTATTATATCTCTATATTTAGAAATGATAGAGTTTTCATCGTGCCTTCGATCAAATTTCAAGTTTATAATTATTCCTCTCCATCCAAAGGTTGTCTGGAAGAGATCGCTTTTAGTGATAAGATCACTCATTGTTTTTTTCACTGTCATTATTTCTTGTAATTGTTTGTATCTATAATAAGTTTACTATTTATTAATCTTACACTTTATTGCATCAAGTAAAAAGAAAAATAACAAATACAGTAAATATTAATGAGATGTGATACAAAAGGCGGCCTTATCGCTAAGCAATCTCTTCCAGACAACCTTTGGGTGGGCATTGAGAAAAAGACAAAGGGTAAGTGGCGCACTATTATATAAATATTATCATTTACAAACATATATACATACATATATATACATATAAGTTTACTATTATAATCTTTTGGAGGAAACAATAAAGAGTATCTATTTATGTTAGGGAGTTAAAAGACAATTTTAAGGTAATCGTAATACGGTTAATTTCGTATAACACGATGAATTTAAATGGCACTTTGCGTTAAGGGCGTAATACTAACAGATACGTAAGTGGTAACGATTGAGTATAGGGGCTAGAGATCAGAGAGGCTTTGCATAATTTGT